TTAAAATTTTTTTTGCCCTGTTTTGTATAACCAAGAAATGAAAAAGGGATAGTAGCTATGGAGAAATTTCTACCTTTTTTGCTTCTTTGCATTTTATTTCTTCTTCGAAAAGTTAATGGACAAGGAGATATGATAACTACCACTAAATTTATCAAAGACGGTGAAACTATTGTTTCTTCTGATGGAACATTTGAGTTGGGGTTTTTCAGTCCTGGAAATACTTCTACAAATCGTTATGTTGGAATTTGGTACAAGAAAATTTCTGTTATTACTCCTGTTTGGGTTGCTAATAGGTTGGTTCCACTTACTAACAAAACTGGGGTTTTGAAAGTTATGCAATCTGGCAGTGTTGCTCTTCGTGATGTTACAAATTCAACAATTTGGTCTACAAATTCATCGAAATCCGTGCAAAACCCCGTTGCCCAGTTGCTGGACACAGGGAATTTTGTGTTGAGGGATGCTAATGATCTGAATCCAGAGAATTTCCTCTGGCAGAGTTTTGATTACCCTACTGATACATTAATTGCGAATATGAAACTTGGAAGGGATTTAGTTACTGGATTCGAGAGGTATCTTAGTTCATGGAAAAGCAGTGATGATCCTGCTCCAGGGGATTATACTTATCATTGTGATCCAACGGGTTATCCACAAGACGTTATGCGAAAAGGAGCTGATGTGATTTATAGAGCTGGGCCATGGAACGGTTTAAGGTGGAGTGGTGCACCTAATATGGTGAACAATTCGATCACTTCGTTTGGTTTGGTTATGAACAATAAGGAGATTTATTATAAATATGAACTTGTGAACAAATCCGTTGTTTCAGCTCTAGTAGTAAAGCCTAATGGGAACACTATGCGCATGATTTGGATCGCAAAGACTCAAGGTTGGGTTAATTACCATTCTGCTGATGCAGATGACTGTGACACTTACAAATTATGTGGTGCATATGGGACTTGTAACATTTTGAGTGATCCTTTGTGTCATTGTTTAGATAAATTCGAGCCAAAGCATCAGGATGATTGGAATAGGGCTGATTGGACGAGTGGTTGTGTCCGGAAAACCCCATTGAATTGTACTGGAGATGGATTTATTATGTATTCTGGTGTTAAACTGCCTGATACGCGAACTTCTTGGTTCAATGAGACCATGAGTTTAGATGAATGCAGGGAGTTTTGCTTGAGAAATTGTTCGTGTATGGGTTATACTAATCTGGATATACGCAATGGAGGAAGTGGGTGCTTAATATGGATTGACGAGTTGATTGACATCAGACAGCTATCTCAATCAGGACAGGATATCTACATTAGGATGTCTGCTTCAGAAATAGGTAATATACAATTTACTGAGGTTTTCTTTATTACACAATGCTTGTTATCAAGAATGATGTATCTAATAGTTCAATTCTGTAAGGCTGATTGACGAACAAAGAGTAATGTATTTACAAGGAATAAACATCCTCAGGAGATGGACTCTTTTGTGTAGAATATGACTGATAAGACCACCTTGTTCTCTAATAGAATAATTTGTACAGGATTTAAAAAGTTTATCGGAGATTCTAATTCACACAACTACCTAAAGAAACTTTTGGATGGAAAACGTTGCAGGTTCTGCTCATTCAAGTTCAAAGGGAGAGAAGTCTGTCATACTTGCAGTAGCTTTGCCACTATTGTTTGCGTTGATTCTTCTAGGTGTAGGTGTTGGCCTGATTCTTTATAAACGGAGAAGGAGAGAGGATCCAGTGGTTACGACAAGGGGTAAGTGAACATAACAAGTTTTATCTGTTGAAAAGCCGGAAGTAGCTAATGGTTGTTAGTTCTGCGTACCACTAGTACTTCTTTTCAAGCTCGTCGTTTGAACAAAGTCTACTTGGTTGTTCAAATTGCAGGGAGATATAGTGGTCACAACAACAAGAATGATAACAGTAATCAAAGTCACCATGAAGATTTTGAGCTACCACTTCTTGATTTCCTTACATTAATCAATGCTACTGACAATTTTTCAATTGCGAACAAGATTGGAGAGGGTGGCTTTGGACAAGTTTACAAGGTAGAAAGCACATTGAAACCTTAAATAGATATAACTTTTTTGGTAAGAAATGAAAGTAAGTTCTACTTTTACAGGGCGTGTTAGAAGGGGGGCAAGAAGTAGCAGTGAAGCGGCTATCAGAAACATCAAAACAAGGATTTCACGAGTTCAAGAATGAAGTTAACTGCATTGCTAAACTTCAGCATCGAAATCTTGTAAAGCTTCTGGGATGCTGCGTTCAAGGAGAAGAAAAGATGTTGGTCTACGAATACTTGCGGAACAAGAGCCTTGATATATATATATTTGGTTAGTCTTTCACATCCATTGTGTAGCCATTTCTTTCAAGTGAACTTCTGAGTGTGATTTCTCTGAGCTTCGTTTCATGTTTAGGAGAAATTATAATAAGTTGAAAACATTTGGCAGATGAAGAAAGGAGTACATTACTTGATTGGCCAAAGCGCTTTAACATTATCAATGGAATTGCTCGTGGACTGATGTACCTGCATCAAGATTCGAGGCTCAGAATCATCCACAGAGACTTGAAAGCTAGCAATGTCTTACTTGATACTGATATGAACCCAAAGATATCAGATTTTGGGATGGCTAGAAGTTTTGGAGGAGATGAGACAGGAGCCAATACACGTCGTGTTGTTGGAACATAGTAAGAATTAATAGTTATGCACATTCACACATTCATAAAAATAGTTTTAACTTGCTTTGTCCCGAGTAAAATCTCCTCTGCCCCATACAAGATTAAACCCACCCCACTCCGCTGCTATCTCTAAATATATAATCCTGTCATTTCTTTATTGCAGTGGTTACATGTCTCCAGAATATGCAGTCGATGGGATATTCTCAGTGAAATCAGATGTCTTTAGCTTTGGAGTATTAGTACTAGAGATTGTGAGCGGAAAGAAGAACAGACGATTCGTTCATCCAGACCACCACCTCAACCTTCTTGGACATGTAAGTACCGTGTCCTAACTCATATGTGTAAAAGGGCATTACTCAAAGTATCTGTTAATGAGTTCAAGAGTAGTATGTAAACTATTGATGCTGTCAATGCATATAACTTAAATCGTTTGTTAACTGATGGATCATTATATGCAGACATATATGCTACATAAAGAAGGAAGATCGTTAGAACTTGTCGATCCAAAACTGGTGGACTCATGTAATATATCAGAAGTACAAAGATCAATCCATGTAGGTTTATTATGTGTTCAACAAAATCCAGTGGACAGGCCAAGTATGTCAACTGTGATTATGATGCTGACCAATGAAGGCATTTTGCCATCAGCTAAACATCCTGGCTTCTTTACTGAAAGGAAAATTGGTGAAGTTGATCAATTTTCTTGGAGTACACAAACACCAAGTTCTATAAATGAAGTTACCATCACATTGTTGGATGCTCGATAAGAAGAATGTGGAGTGATTTCTCAGATGATCACTCAATTAATTGTTACATTCTCAGAAAATCACCTTCTTTGTTTAAACGAACATTGAAGTGTGATTTTATGAGATAACAACTATTACTTAAATAACCATCTTAGAAATCAACCAGAAGAATGTCATAGTTGGTTCCATCTTTCATCATTTCTTAGAATTGTATTAAAATCATCTCCTCTATTCTATTTTATTTATTTAGTTAGAAAATTTTGTATTGTAACAACATACACAGTGTGATCCCATTTGTATTCTTTTGTAGTAATATGTTTGTCTACATTTTACGTTAGGTTTCGAGTTCAAATTTCACTACTTTGTTCCTCATTCCTACATTTGATCACTTTTTGCTTTCATTACGCCTTTTCATCTAAAATTACACTCATCTTTAGTAGAAAGGTCTTGGTTTTTATCCCTTGACCCAAAAAAGAGCGTCCACTTGATTGAAATATTTTAGGTCATATTCAAAAGTTAAGGGGTACATTTAAACTTTTATGAAATAGAAAATTTGACGCGTGTGTCCACTTGTACGCTACACTAGCAACTATAATAAAAACCATTTTGCTAACGTCAAAGGTAGGAATAAAATAAAAATTCGAAGTAAAAGACAAAATTAACAACTCGTAGGAAGATCTAGCAAGGACAATAAATTTGTGTGAATCTGATTTTGTTTGTCATGGTGATGTTAGTCTCACGTCCTAAAAGAAATATAAGTACAATAAATAATTTGATATCCATAAAGAAAACACATAATCTTTTAAATAAAAAATAAACAACTAGCTAGAAACTTCCTTGTTAATTATATTTCCTTTTTTGAAAAAAATACCAGATAATATTTTAAAATAAGTTGAGACAAAACGAAAAAGGAAAAGTGTGATAGGATGGTGGACTCTACAGACATATGTGTCTTTTTCTATTGTCGTTATCCATTAATTTCTTAATTGAGCAAAGTTTATTTTATTTGTATTGATAATATGTTATTTAAAATATATTTTAAAAAAATATGGCCAATGACGTTCCATTTTTTATTTTTCTTCTCTAAGTCTTGCTTCAACAAAGAAGCCAACGTCATGAACTAAATTTTGTTCAATAGACATGTCTTCAAATTCACACCCTATTTCTATATTGAGTAACCGCATTAGATTTTTCTCTTAATTAATTAAAAAAATATATCTAGTTTCGGTTATCTAACTCACCAACACGTAGAAAATCATGATAACTCAGTTAATTGATTTCCTAATTTCACGTTGTTGTTGTGTTCATTTTCATCCATCAATGATAATTGAGGCTGCTTCAAGTCCTGGCTGCTTATAAAAAAAGTTAATGGCTGGTTTTGGTTTACTTTTTGAGTATATATATTGCGAATAATTTAGTAAAAGGCATATATGTTATGACCAGTATCTATGTGAAATGTATCATTATCAATGAAACATGAGGAAAATTTTGCTGCAGTAATAAAACTAAAACAGTTTTGCGATAGATTAATATCTGTAGACCATATTGCCATGTTAAGAAAAGCTTAATGAACTGATGTAACATCATCTTTTTCTATGGAGCTTCTGTTTGGGTTCGACGCTAATGTTCTTGAACTTGATTTGTTGGCTAACCTCTTCCTTGTATTGAGAAGCAACAGGAAATCAGTAAGATTTCATATTTACATATGTTTGAGTCAGTTTGACCTAGTTAATACACCATAAGGGAAAGCCATACACAAAATTTTCCACCTCATTTCTACAAAGAATTAAAGAAAAGGTTATTAAAAACTGCAAGCTTGTTGTGGAAGCGAGTGGACAAATAACTTCTTATCGAGGAGCTAATATTGTGATGGGGTCTCACTCGCTGTATTCTGTGCATATAATTCACCATATGGTGCATCTCTTTCAATGTAAAAACCTGGCCTTTTAGCCTGTGGCAATTCACCTTCATTGTTTAACATCATAACTGCAGAGGACATACTTGGACGGTCTTCTGGACTTTGTTGGACACATAATAGACCAACACAGATTGATCGTTCCACTTCGGATGTTGAACAAGAATCACCTAGGTATTCATCAAGTAGTTCTGTTGACCTACCTTCTTTATATAGTTTCCATGCCTGTAGATTACAAGATCTATCAGCATTTGACTTGATTTGCAGATATTTGTTACTAGGAAATAACATAACACCAAAGGATAAGTGAAATAAAACAAATCAAATCTTACATGTCCAAGTAGATTAAGGTTGTGATCTGGATGAGAGAATCTTCTGTTGCTTTTCCCACTCACAATTTCCAATATTAAGATACCAAAGCTAAATACATCTGATTCTACTGAGTATCTCCCGTGCAATGCATATTCCGGTGAGAGGTATCCACTAAATAAAAATGTAAACAAAATATAGAATCACTAATGCTGGAAAACATGCTTAGTATCTCAAAACTCGTCTTAGGTTCAAATTCTTAACTATCCAGTTGAAGGTTCTTACTATGTTCCCACAACTCGATTTGTCTTGGCTCCAATGTCATTCTCTTCACATATTTTTGCTATCCCGAAGTCTGATATCTTTGGATTCATGTCCTTGTCTAACAAGATGTTATTAGCTTTCAGGTCTCTGTGAATTATTCTCAATTGAGAATCTTGACGCAGATACATAAGTCCCCATATCTGATGTGCCCACCTTTCTTCCCTTAGCTATTGTATCTGTTCCCTTTTGGTTTTACAAAGCAAAGGTTTGTCATTACACCTTTGATCATACAACTCCTAAATTGTATCTAAAGATAAGTTTTACTTTGAACGACAAGGTATACCTTGTAAACAGGTCCATAGCCTCCCTCTCCAATCTGTCTGTCAATTGAAAAGTTATTGATAGCGTTTGCTATGGTAGATAAGTCAAACAGTGGTATTTCAAATTCTTCAGAGCAATTGCCCCCACATCCTGTCCTTCCTGCCAAAACCAAATGACAGTAAATTTTGCTTTCTAAGAAGAAAAAAATGAAGTGAATGTTATTTAAGTTGCGAATATCAGACAACTATGAAGTTCTTTTCACTAATATTTAAGTGTATATTGCTCTATTTGCTTAGACGTCAAGAAAAAAAAGGGGGGGATCCAGCTTACCTTTGTTTTTGAGCTCTAAAGCCTTCTTTCTTCTTCTATGGTAGATTAGCAGACTAAGGAATACCAGAATAAGACCAACTGATAATGGCAGAATCCAGAAAAGTATTTTTCCTTTCTTTCCATCCGACTCCTCCTGATCATCTGCAAATATCCATTTAAACTGAGACTATCAAAAATCTATCAAGTCGCGAAAAATCTTTAAGTAGCAACAAGCCAACCTGATTCAGAAGCAGCCATACTTATGTAAATCTCTTGCAGTCCGTTGGTTCCCTTCCGAATGTCAAGCAGATCCCCAAACCACAATAAGCATCCACTTCCTCGTATGTCAGAATTCGAGTAAGCCATACAAGAGCAATTTTTTGAGCAGATATCCTTGCATTCTTCTAGTGACATAGTCACATTTGAATATACGCCATATGTGTAGAAAGTACCTTGTTTTGAGTTTTGTGTCCCACTGAAATATCGACCATTCCACGGTCCAGAGCTATACACAACATCCGATCCCTTCTTCACGATAGCCTGTGGGTAACCAGTAGGATCACAATGGTATGTATAATCACCTGGAGCTGGATCTTCCTCATTCTTCCATGATGACAAGTACACCTCTCTTCCAGTTACAAAATTCCTCCCAAGCTTCATCCCTGCTAATAACGTTTCCGTTGGGTGATCAAAACTCTGCCATGTGAAACCCCGCGAGCTATCATCACCAGCCTCTTTAACAACAAGATTTCCAGAATCTACCAACTGCGCCACAGGATTTTGCACTGATCTAGAGGTGCTAGTTGACCACACAACATTGTTAGTTCCATCAACGACAAGTCGAGACTTTCATTATTTTCAGAACACCTGATCCACTCCTCAAAAGAGCTTCTCTATTGGCAATCCACACCACAGTTCTATCAGATACATTCTTATACCAGATACCCACATAACGATTTTTCGAATTACCTGGACTGAAGAACCCCATTTCAAATATTCCACTAGGTAAAGTAAAATTATAATCACCATCTTTTAGAAAATGAGTAGTAGTTGTTGTCTCTGTAGCACCAAAGCTTTGATGAATCAAATACAAACACAGCAACAAGAATATATAGACACTTTAAAAAAAAATTTACATTCATGATTTTTACATTCAAAAAATTTATCTATATTGATTTGATTTAATTAGGTTTTTTTCTTTTCTAAAACACTTCTATAGGTCTTATTTTTAAAAGCTCAACAAAAACCATTAATAGTATTCTGTGTTTTTTTTCAACTAAATCAATTCAAATAAATGGGGTTAGATAATATAACTTACACTAATAGTGTATAGCAAATTACACATGTAGAACAGCAACTATTAGGAAATATACCATTAGAATTGCATTTAAGTGTATAGTTTGTCCACCAAATAGATTTATTTTTAATTTTTGCTCCTTAGTAATCTAACTTGTGCCTAGAATCGTGGTGTTCAAAAGAGATTCAACATCTACTATATAAATATACCAATTCTAATCATGTGTAAATATTGTAATTTTTCACCTAACACCTAAGGGCATTCAAATGAACCCCTCCATCCTATCTCACTCCGCCCTGCTCTCGAACTAATATCGCTTCATCAGAGAATGTATGTTAACGTCTTATAGATATTTTAATTAAGGTCTAATCCATCGATAGCCCCCTTAAACTTGACATAAAGTTTCACTTAGACACCTTAACTGAACATTGTTCATATTAGACACTTCATGTAGGAAATTCTTGTATCATTTTAGCACTTTTTGCTTACATGGCTTAGCAAGTGTAATACACTCGTTGACTGCGCGTGAAAAACATATTTAGTTGGCTTTTTAATTTTTCTTCTTCTTCTTTCCCACCTTCAACTTTGAAACCCAAACATCCAACTGTGGTGAATCAAACTAGTTACCATAAGCAACTGAAAAATAAAGAAAATTATTTTAGAAATTTAGAAATATACCTATTTTAAGATTTACTTAGTAAATTATTCATGAGATTCTTTTCTAAAAGAATTAAATATTTACATAGAAGTAATTCTTTTTTTTTCTTTAATATGCTCATATATTTTTGCAAAAGAAAATCACCTTTGGAGTTTTGGGGTCGGGTGGGTTGGGGGTTGGGGGACGGGGTGTGTACAAATATTTGTGCAAAATGGGTGGGGTGTTTGGAGAAGAAGGCCGTTGGGGGTATTGGCTTAATTTTGTAAAGAAGTTACTTGAACAAAAAGTCACGTGTCATTAATTCATTGGTTATTTTTTATTATTATTTAAAATTTATTAGGTAAGGATTCTTTTGATACAAATGACAAATGTTATCATTTAATTTGTCACTTTGCACGTTATTCGCGAGTGTAATACGCACACCTTATATATTTTTATTGATCGAAAAAAAGTATCAAAATGACACAACAATATCATACATGAGGTGTCTAAAATAAACATCATACAGTTAAAGTGTCTAGCTGAAATTTCATTCCAAATTCAAGGGGTCACCGATGAATTAGACCTTTAATTAATATTGACTCTAGTTACTATGTTGTTCACATGAAGGTTGATCAGACATTCACGTGCTGTTATATTAATTTATATATATAGGTGCCTCCAGCATATAATACTACTACTTTCGACGTAGTTCAAATGTTCAACATGTTATTAAAACAACTTCAAAGTTTGAAACTTTAATTAAACTATATTAAACTCCATACCCATTGTGTCCTATAGTTAGGTCATTAACTTCATCAATCTATATGGAGATACATGTTTCAATTGTTTGTTCATCTTTCTCTTCAATGTAGAAGAGTAGCTAAGCTATGTGACAAACAGAAGAAATATTAATTAGATCTCATAGCATGAATGCATTACAAAGGAATGATTTTTACTTGCTATTGTTATTGTACTTTTATTCTACCCATCAAACTTTTGGTGCTACAGATAGTACTATAACGACGACTCAGTTTCTCAAAGATGGTGATAAAATTGCTTCACATAGTGGAAGCTTTGAAATGGGGTTCTTTAGTCCAGGTGATTCGGAGAATCGCTATGTTGGTGTATGGTACAAGAACATATCTGTTAGGACAGTGGTGTGGGTAGCTAACAGAGAAGCTCCTTTGACCGGTGAATCAGGTATCTTGAAAGTCATTGAGCCAGGAATTCTTGTCCTTGTCAATGGTGCTGATAATGTTGTGTGGTCAACTAATACCTCTAGATCTGTGCAGAATCCTGTTGCACAGTTGCTGGATTCGGGGAATCTTGTTGTGAAACAAGCTAGTGATGATAATTTCCTTTGGCAGAGTTTTGATCACCCGACTGATACACTATTATCAGGCATGAAGCTCGGTTGGAACTTTGTAACTGGCCGAGAGGTGTACTTGTCATCATGGAAGAGCGAGGAAGATCCAGCTCCTGGTGATTATACATATCATTGTGATCCTTCTGGATATCCACAGAACATCCTGAAGAAGGGTTCAGATGTTGTGTATCGGTCTGGACCGTGGAATGGTCTTCATTTTAGTGGGGCAATAAGCTCAAGAGACAGTCCTTTGTATACATTTGGGATATTCTCAAGTAACACAGAGGTGTATTTTGGATTTAATTTCACCTCTTCGGTTATCACAAGGTTGACACTAAATCAGAATGGTGCATTACAGCGTTGGACTTGGGGTGACCGTGGACAGAATTGGATCCCTTACCTCTCAATACCAACAGACAACTGCGACATTTACAAACTGTGTGGCGCATATGGTAGCTGCAACAGTCAAAATTCTCCTGTATGTGGATGCTTAGACAAATTTGTGCCAAAACATAATGAAGATTGGCAAAAGGCAGACTGGTCAAGTGGCTGTGTTAGGAGGATTCAACTAAACTGCCTCCACGGAGACATATTTTTAAAGTATTCGCATATGAAATTGCCAGACACGCAAAATTCCTTGTCCAACTTGACTATGACACTAGAAGAATGCAAGACTATATGCTCTAGAAATTGCTCTTGTATGGCTTACTCAAATATTGACATACGCAATGGAGGAAGTGGGTGCTTATTGTGGTTCAGTGATCTGCTTGACATTCGACAGCTATCTAAAGAGGGACAAGATATCTATATAAGAATAGCTGCCTCTGAATTAGGTATCTTTATTACTGAAACAGTTAACAATGATTTGTGATTTGTAACTTGAATATATATGTATAGCTAAGAACTAAAACTTTAGTAGAATAAAAGGCTACTACTTAGATTGAGGTGTTGAATTTTAAAGCTAAATCTATAAGCATTATGAGTTATTGCATCTGTATCAACGTAGAGACAGTCAAATTTATTGATTACTTTGTTGGAATGGACCTTGCAGATAGTCTGAAGAAGTCAGATGGTGAAAAAGGAACAGGACTATACTGGATTCTTCCATTATCCGTTGGTTTAGTTCTGGTAATCCTTAGCATATTGCTGATATGCCACAGGAGAAGGAAGAAGGCTATAAAGCGTAAAACGAAAGGTAAGCTGGATAGGTCACTTTTTTTGCCTGATCGTTGAGCAAATTACAGGAAATGAAATTCGAAGTGAAGACGGTTTTTGCTGCTTTAACACAATTCACTCAATTTCCTTTTAGCTGCAGAAAAATCGAGATACAGCGGAAATATCAAGCAGGATTACAACAGTGGTAGTTGCACTGAAGAATTTGAGATACCACTGTTTGACTTATCTACCATAACTAAGGCTACTGATAACTTTTCAGTAAACAGAAAGATTGGAGAGGGGGGATTTGGTCCTGTTTATAAGGTAAATGCACTTGTTTCATGGGCAATTTTGTACAAGAAATATACCAGCTTATGACTAACAGAAGCTTCCTGGTCCTCCAGAGCAAAGCCTTCATCTTTAGAAGGTGAAATGTAATGAATTAAGTATATGCTGGAGTGTTTTTTGACCTAAACTATGCATAACTGATTCTCATAATTTCTCCAGTCCTTTTTAGTGGGAAGCATAGCTTACTTTGTACCTTATACTTTCAAGTTAGATATTTATATCTTTTTTTTGAGAAAAAAGATATAAAATATATCGGAAACAATGTCTCTACCTTCAAAAGGTAGGGGTAACGCTGTGTACACACCGGTTACCACCCTCCCCAGACCCCACTTGTAGAATTACTATGTAGTCGTTATTGTACAGTATCTAAAATATTTAACTTTGATGTTTAGGGAATACTTGAAAAAGGACGAGAAATAGCTGTCAAGCGGCTGTCTAAAACATCCAGACAAGGAGAAGATGAGTTCAAGAACGAAGTGGTATATATTGCCAAACTTCAGCACAGAAATCTTGTGAAGATTCTTGGATGCTGCATTGAAGGAGAAGAAAAAATGTTGATCTATGAGTATTTGCCAAACGGAAGTCTTGATTCATTTATATTTGGTAATAAATTCCCATACAAATTATTCTGTATACTGAATTATCTTCTCCCAGTTTCGAATCCCACGTCAAATAAGAAAAAAAACATGGAACTAAGATCTCAGCTATATTAGAGCCTAATAATAATGTATACAGTAGCCCAAATTGATCTTTACATTCAATGAGGAAATGGACTGATATAGTTTGATGTTTTAGAACTACTTTCTATCTATAGCTTAATGAACCAATAAAACTTGGCAGGTGGCAGACAAAACAGGATATTAGACTGGCCTGAGCGATTTCACATTATCAATGGGATTGCTCGGGGACTCTTATATCTACATCAAGATTCTCAACTGAGGATAATTCATAGAGACCTGAAAGCTAATAACATCTTGCTAGACAATGATATGAATGCAAAGATATCAGACTTTGGTATAGCAAGATGTTATGAAGAGGATGATAATGAAGCCATGACAAACCGAGTTATTGGAACATAGTAAGAATCTATTACTGGGTAGTAGAAAATGCTTGAGATAGTTATGTATTCCAGCATTAGTAACTATATTTTGTGTACATTTTCTGCAGCGGATACCTTTCACCAGAATATGCATTATATGGGCTATACTCCGTAAAATCAGATGTTTATAGCTTTGGTATCTTAGTACTGGAAATTGTGAGTGGAAAAAGTAATAGACGATACTCTCCTTCAAACCTTAACCATAGTCTAATCGGACATGTAAGATTTTTATGTATTTTTCTTATTTATCCATTGGTGTTAGCAACTAACAAGTATCTTGTAAGGGCTGATAAGTTTGTAAAATCTACAGGCATGGGAACTCAACAACGAAGGTAGGTCAATAGAACTACTTGATGAACATGTTGGTGATTCTTGTTCTACACCTCAAGAAGTGGTACGATCAATCGGTGTTGGTCTATTATGTGTCCAAGAACGTCCAGATGATCGCCCAAGTATGTCTTCCGTGGTTCTAATGTTAAACAATGAAGGTACACTGCCTCAGGCTAAACTACCAGCTTTTTACATGGAAGGAGATGCATCAGATACTGAATTACTTTCTACCCTATTTGCACATAGTACAACGGATGACACCCCGTTAGAAATTAGATGAAAAACAGAGAACACTAGTTCACTTGTTTGTAACTAAATGCATTCTAACAAATTATAGTTAACCCTTCCTCTCAGAATATATATTCGAAATTTTATCCACACATAACATCTGACATACATTTACACCTTTTAGCATTTCTCAACGCGTTGCAAGAGATGTTACTGGAGATCTATCACTAGCTAAGTTTTAGGTTTTTGCATAGCATTTGTTTGGAGACAGAAAAATAAGAAACCTCCAAAATAAAGCGGACTAAGAAAAGCAATAGCGAATAAATAGGAATCCAGGAAAAAGTTAGTAAAATAGAAAATTTTACTATAAAAAATACAAGACAACATTAATTTTGACAGAATCTGCAGGTCATCCGTGGTAAGACAACACGCGAATAAGTAAAATGAAAGCAAAAAAACTACTTGAGAAAATAAAAAAGAGACGATAGAAGAGTTTGTTCGATGAAAAAGTGTTGTTGGTTTGTCGTAATCTCAGATCAAGTGGCTCTAAATCTGATCGAAAAGGGAAAACTTCTTGTACATCACGACATTTATTCAGTTTCACCTCGTTAAAGCTCTTATCTTGCAGCTTGTAAAAGTAAACTTTATAGTAATCCTTCATCAAAGCAATGCCTGCATTATAAATCCCACAAGGAATTGAAAAATTTGTCACCTCCTTTATACTTTCAATGCCTACTTCCTTTTTCAACTCCCAAACACAATTCTCATTCTCGAAAACCCAAAATCCTATCCCTCGTGGTGATAAACAGGTAAACCCAAGCTTCTCATTATACTCCACGAGTTGGTTATATCGATAATCTTCATAATCAAAAGCTTGATTTGGAAGTGAAAATCTAGGGAAAGCCTCTTCCCCATTATAATCTAGAGCCATTACTAGATCATCGCGTAGTTTGAAATAAACCAAACCAGTTGCATGAACTGCTGGAGCAAACATGTCAAAGCACAATAATTCAGGGACTAACAAATCCTTTTCTTGCTTCCACTTCCAATTCTCTGAATCAAAAACTTCACGACGATAGTAATCCTTTCCTAATACTCTATAATGATGATAACAAGTTCGAGGTGATGACAACCTTATGATCTTGAAATGCAGGGGATTCGATTTCAACACAATGAGGGCAACTTTAACAGTTTCAAAACGTACTCTAGGATTCGGTAGTTTTATCCATTGTTTAGTACTTGGCTTACAAATATAATATCTATATCCATTTCTGTTGAATGCCTTGAATCGGACCCGCTACAAACAGAAAGGACGGGGTCTCGCTGACCGGTCAGCGAGTCGGGGGGTCCAGGGGGGCGACGCGCCCCCTGGCCTGGGGTCCGGGGGCGGAGACGCCCGACCCGACGGTATTCAATGTTGTTGTATTGGGCCCTTAATTTTCTGTTGATTCTGTATGTTGGGCCCAAGCCTGTTAGGGCGTAGCTTAGCACTATATATAGACGCTATGACAACCCTATTTTGTAATTCTGTTTTTGGCTCTCCATAATAAAACTGCTCCCTCTCTTCCCGTGGACGTAGCCAATTTATTGGTGAACCACGTAAATCTGTTGTCTTGTTTTTCGCGTTTATATTTTCTCGTATTATCTCAAATTCCGCACAACAATTTCCTATTCTTCTAACACAACAGAGTATGCCCTGTTTTGTGGAGGCAACTATCTTCATGTCAAAATCTCCGCAATTCATTGCTGTGCTATCGTTAATAGGAAGATGGAACGGGGTTTTATTATTCCCCGAACACCCATCCATCGATACAAATTCTGTAACATGCTTGTTATTTGAGAGAGTTTGGAGAAAATATCCAGAAATATTTTCAGTTCTTTGACAGAATTGTGGCATGAAATTCGATTCGAAAACTATATCATGACATTCTTTATTAACGGCCTTGCATGCATCTAACGTTTTCAAAGATGTTCGAGTTAATATTTCAAATATTATTTCAGAAGGCAGCGAAGAAGTAGAAGAAGCCATTGTATGCATGGAAAAAGGAGAAAAAAAATAATTCTAAGGTGTATTTATAGAAGCTTGAGATAAAGAGCATTCCAAAATTGAGTAGGAAAAGGAGGTGAATATATACACAAATTCAATAAGAATTAGGAAATAAATTATTAGTTTTTACCATTTTTAATTCCTGAATGATTAGGAGTAGCATAAATTTAATTATTAGGGTAGCAAAATTTTGTTAAATTTTTTTTTATAGTAATAAGTTTATTTTATGGTAATATCACAAATACGTTGAATTAGATTACATTGATAAATATTTGATTAATTTTTCAAAGTTAAATTAGATTACATTAAGAAATATTTTAAATATAAATTTAGACATTCAAAAATTATACTGAAAGTGTAAATTGTAATTTCTTGCATAATGAAAAAATACACAGTAAAAGTAAATATAAAATGTTAGTTAAAGTTCTTATAGTTTGACTCTAAAAGAAAAACATGACAATTAAAAATGGACAGAGAAAGTATATATTTCTCGACTCTTTGTTTTTTCCTCTTTGTTTTTCTCACATAAAAAGTTGGATTCACAAAATTTAAGATTATGGTATCATTATTTTTCTTAGGAAATATTAACATAGTTAGAATCTTATTTTAATCAATTAAATCTTAGCCATTAATTTTTATCTATGTCATGTGTCTCACGTTCAAGCAAGAATTTTATTTTTTTTAGACAGAAGAGAAATAGAAAGGAGTCGGATCCTCCTTAAATTTAATTATTAGGGTAACAAAATCTTGTAAATACGTAATATACATTTCTCTGCTCTTTGTTTTTGTCCTCTAAGTTTTTCTCACATTAAAAATTGGATCCACAAAATTTAAGATGAAAGAATATAAGCTAATTACACTCAATGATTATAATTTGCTAATTACAATATTTATGTAAATTTTTTAAGAGTTTGACGCAATGTAATTGACAGAAAGTTGAGGGAAATATTGGCAAATCATAAATGTATTTTAAAAGAATCCTATTTAAAAATAAATAAACAGAAAGGAGAATGCTTATACACGGACAAAGTAGCAACATCAAAGTTAAAACGATAAAAAGCTCACGATTCAATTTTATATATTATTGATTTAATCGATAACAAAATACTCATTAATCATATATACACTATATTTACAAAATAGAAATCATAGTAAGAATTAAAAGTACAAGACAAATTTTTACACATTAATCCATGTCTTCATTTGCTTCCATTTATGTCCTTTTTACACCATTGTACCTTGCATTCTTCGATGGGCATATCAATATCCAGTGAGTGTTTAATCATGACAAAACTAATTGAATCCTTGAAGTGAAACATATACTAAAAACATCTTCTATAAAAAAGTATTAGATAAAATATAAATATATTAGATGTTTGTTCCCAATAACATCAAATTGCAACTCATTGTACATTTTAAATACCAAAATAATTTTGTTGTTCAGTATTTGACATTTAATAAAAAAAAAGTTTTTTGCATTGGCTAATTCTTCATCAATTTTGGTGTTTACTCCAAATTAAATTTAGTGTTTCTCATTAGCAATCTTGATATGACTTATATCGTACATACTATTTGTTACATTCATGTGCAACACACATATCTAAAAATAGTTTGAATAAAATACTCCCTCAGGCTCAATTATATGTCTCTTTTTTATTAATAGTTAGTCCATAATACTTATCATTTCATAAAATCAATGTATAAATTATTATATTTTTTCTTTTTGATCCTTGTGAGTTATTAATATTGAAAATATACATTTGACTAAAGACCCTACCCATGAGTACTTGAGTCTTGAGGTTACTATGATGAAAAAGAAAGGAATGCACTATTATTGCTATTTGAATAGATAAACTACCTTTTGACTAGTCTGTTCTTCGTGAATGGAGATGGTATAAAATCCAATATAGAGTCTAAAAAATTCTGAGAACTAACCCAAATAGCCATACCATTAACTGATTAAATTAAAAATAGTTATATTGGAGTAAACAATCTCTAAAAAAGGCGATTTCATATACTCAAGAGACATTTAACCAAACATATTGGAAATTAAACTAATGTGTTTTTTGTACCTTTAGGTAGAAGATGTGTTATACTAGCCTGAGAGATGAAATAAATTAATCTTAATTATATTTTATTTGAAATTGTGATCCCTTATATATCAGACATACCAAACATAGACAAATGGGGAACTTGCTAGATTTTCTTTGGCTAGCTAGTGTGACTGTGAGCAAACTAGCGGGATTGATTCAGGCGCAGGTTCACGCGAACTCAATCATTTTTTTGCTCAAATTATATAATATACATATCAAAATGTATAAATATCTAACAATAAACCTTTATCAACTCAAACTAGCACGTATTTCAGAATGCAATAACATACTATTTTTGTTTTAATGCATTATAAAAAAAACAAAGACAATGGTAAAAAGTAAAACCTGATGCATATGTAGCCACTTTTCATAAGTGGCGGGAATGAAAATGAATTTGAAACGCTCAGAAATCATTTTTTATTTTTTTTTAAAAAAAGATATAAAACGTGCGTGAATATAGAAATGGAGACTCAAAAGTGGTGGAAAAGCCAAAGTGTTAAAGGTGTACAAAATATTATGGAGCAAATTATACTCCCTTCGTTAAAAAAGAATGATCTCTTTTGTTTTTTTATAACATTTTAAATCAGTTTTCCACGTGGCATGTTTAAGGTCACAAGATTAAAAGACAATTTTGTATATTTAACTTAAATTTAATCTAGGACCACAAGATATAAAAGTCTTCTTTATACTCTTTAAACTCTGTGTCAAGTTAAATCAGGTCATTTTTTGTGAAACGGAGGGAGTAATACTTTTTTTTTTCAGCCAATATAATTGATCCATTGTGATTAACTGATAAAGACAACATCCAATAGAAAATTAAAAGTATAGATCATGCCTTAGCTTTTTAAGAAAAATATTTATTTTTTTTCAATATTATTGTCCCACTAGCCATAATTAACCAAACTACTTACCAATTACGCAAATAATGCACACAAACATTAGTGGACATGACAATCATTTTGATATCGAGTTAGATTTATTATTTTTCTTAGTAATGATATATAATAATACGACTCTGGTTGTGATTTGATCGCAAGTCGAAGCATGAACATGCCAGAAGTTGTTTATGGCACATTCATGCTCGTATTCTTTTTTTCTTCCATCTACCTATGTTTTTGCGCTACAGATATAATGACTACGATAGATTTTCTCAAAGATGGCGAAGCCAATGTTATTACTTCACGTGGTGGAATCTTTGAAATGGGATTCTTCAGTCCAGGTAAATCCAATAACCGATATGTAGGAATGTGGTACAAGAACATATCTGTTAGGACCGTGGTGTGGGTCGCGAATAGAGAAGCTCCTCTGACTAGTACAACTGGTGTGTTGAAGGTCATTGAGCCAGGAATTCTTGTCCTTCTCAATGACAGTAGCAATGTTGTATGGTCAACTAATACATCGAGATCAGTGCAGAATCCGGTAGCACAGTTGCTGGATTCGGGGAATCTTGTTGTGAAACAATCTGATCATGGTGTTGATGATGGTAATTTTCTTTGGCAGAGTTTTGATCACCCAACTAATACACTATTACCAGGCATGAAGCTCGGTTGGAACTTTGTAACAGGACGAGAGGTGTACTTGTCGTCATGGAAGAATGATGAGGATCCAGCTCCTGGTGATTATACATATCATTGTGATCCCTCTGGTTATCCACAGAACATAATGAAGAAGGGATCAGATGCTGTGTATCGCTCTGGACCGTGGAATGGTCGTTCTTTTAGTGGATCACAGAACTCAAGAGAATGTCCTTACTATACAATTGGAGTATTTACAAGTAAGACAGAATTGTACTTTGGATATAAGCGCACGTCTTCAGTTATCGTGAGGTTGATACTAAGTCAGAACGGTGTGTTACAACTTTGGACTTGGGGTGACGGAAAACAGGATTGGGTTCCTTTCCTCTTAATACCTGCAGATAACTGTGATACGTATAAGTTGTGTGGTGCATATGGTAGCTGCAACAGTCAAGATTTTCCAGTATGTGGATGCTTAGACAAATTTGTGCCCAACAATAGTGAAGCTTGGAAGAAAACAGATTGGTCAGGTGGATGTGTTCGTAGAACTGAACTAAATTGCCTTAAAGGAGACGTATTTTTGAAGTATTCACATATCAAATTGCCAGACACACGGAATTCCTGGTCCAATGTGACTATGACACTAGAAGAATGCAAGGATTTCTGCTCAAAAAATTGCTCTTGTATGGCCTACTCAATTGCTGATATACGCAATGGAGGAAGTGGATGCATAATATGGTTAGAGGATCTGCTTGACATTCGACAGGAACCCAACGGAGGGCAAGATATCTACATTAGAATGGCTGCTTCTGAAGCAGGTATGTCTTTTTGCTATCTAACATGTTCTAATAGAAACAGAAGCAGCTATTATAGAGAAAGAGATACTTGCAGATAGTCTGGAGAATTCGAATGGAAAGAAGCGAAAAGTACTTCACTGGATTCTGCCATTTGCAATTGGTATGGTTCTGGTAATTCTTAGCATGCTGATCTACCATAGAAGAAAGAAGAGAACTTTAGTACTCAAAAAGAAAGGTCAGCTTGATAAATCCCTTTTTTTCCTGACATCTTAGCAAAATAGAGGAATACAAATTCAAATAAGAGGCATAATACTTAAACGTGTCCTTTCAACTTGGCTTTATCTATGCCCTCTAACTTCAGGCATGTTTGCGTAGCCACTTAAACTTGTATCTAGTTGAAAAAGTAGCTAGAAACACACAATCCTACTTGACAGCCTATGTTGAAAGGAATGTATGTGAGACCAAGTTAAAGGGCATATTTATGTATTATGCCTAAAAGTTGGAAGAACTATCAGATTTGTCTGGCATACACACCTTAACAAAATTCACTTCATTTGCTTTTGACAGGTAGTTCGGGATTAAATGGCAGCTCCAAGATGGATTACAGTGGTAGTTGTGCTGAAGAATTGGAGATACCGGTATTTGACTTATCCGTCATAATGAAGGCTACCAATAACTTTTCAATCGACAAAAAGATAGGAGAGGGGGGCTTTGGACCTGTTTACAAGGTATATCTAGTACCACTGATTCTTTCTTATATCAATTTAGTTAGTAAAACTATTAACATGTGGATGTTGTGATGTTTAGGGCATACTTGAAGGACAGGAAATAGCTGTCAAGAGTCTGTCGAGAACATCCACACAAGGAGAAAATGAGTTTATGAATGAAGTTGTATATATTGCCAAACTTCAGCACAGAAATCTGGTGAAGATTCTTGGCTGTTGTATTGACGGAGAAGAAAAAATGTTGATTTATGAGTACTTGCCAAACGGGAGTCTCGATTCATTTATATTTGGTATTACACTCCAGTCTACTAAGTGCATTTTATATAACTCAGTTCAGTGAACTGATGTTAGGGTGTTGATGACCAAACACATTTGGTAGATGATTCACAAACGAAGATATTGGACTGGCCTAAAAGATTTCACATTATCAATGGTATAGCTCGGGGACTTGTGTATCTGCATCAAGATTCACAATTGAGAATAATACATCGGGACCTGAAAGCTAACAACATTCTGCTAGACAAGGACATGAATCCAAAGATATCAGACTTCGGCTTGGCAAAAATATGTGAAGAGGATGACGTTGGAGCCATGACAAACCGAGTTGTTGGGACACAGTAAGTACCATCTGTTGGATAGTAACTGTTTTGTGGATCTGTTTGCCAGCATTAGTAATTCTATTGTTTACGCTACATTTTTATGCAGTGGGTATCTCTCACCGGAATATGCATTGTACGGGAAGTACTCAGTAAAATCAGATGTATTTAGCTTTGGTATTTTAGTGTTGGAAATTGTAAGTGGAAAAAGCAACAGAAAATCCTGTCATCCAGACTATAACCTCAATCTACTTGGCCATGTAAGATTTTGTTTTATTTATCCTTCCTTTTATCAACTAGTAACAGATATCTATATATGAACTTGTAAAATCTACAGGCATGGAATCTCTATAAAGAAGGCAGGTCAACAGAACTAATTGATGAATGTCTAAGTGATTCTTGTTCAACATATGAAGTGGTACGATCAATCGGTGTTGGTCTATTATGTGTCCAACAATGTCCTGAAGATCGTCCAAGTATGTCTTCTGCGGTTCTGATGTTAAACAATGAAGGTTTATTGCCGTTGGCTAAACAGCCAGGTTTTTACATAGAAGGATATGCGTCTAGTAGTGGTGCATTTTCTTCTAGCCAATATGCAGAGAGTATAGTGACTGAGACCCCTATCACAATACTAACTGCGCGATAAAAGATACTGTTTTACTGTTTATTACAAGCTTGCAATTGTAATAATCTTTTCTTCAAGTCTTTGAAGCAATGTAGTGAAAAAAAATTGTTCATGATTCTGCTTTTTTGGTGTATCAACTATGGAAGATAGTCTTCGTGAATAAGAGATGGTCCAAAGCACACATGTGTTGGTGGAAGGTAACAACAGTGTGTGTAGGGTGGATAAATTAATATTTCTTATCAATTTACCAATTTCATTAGTAATTTCTACTCATATATGCATGATCTAGAGAGCTTGAGAGAGATTTATATAATGAAAGCAAATTGAACTTTAAGGCCTTAAAATTTAGATTTTGCTTTCTAATTTCTCAAAAAAAAAAAAAATGGGAGGATTTTAATATAATCCTGAGAAATGATGACACTCACAATCAACAAGGATGGAGCCAAGTTGATGCAAGGGGTTCATCCGAACCCTTTTCGCCAAAAAATTACAAGTCTACAATTAATTGTTTTTGTATATATAGTACTTACTGAATCGTCTTGACTTCGTGTATTGCTTTTTTCATATTTTGAAACCCTTAGTGAAAATCCTGACTCTGGTCAGCGGACATGCTTCTATCGAGCATTCAACTGCGTGATGGTAATTTCGTTTATAGAACTTGGTGTTTGTGTACTCCAAGAAAATTGATCAATATCTTTAACTTTCCTTTCAGTGAAGAAACCGGGATGTTTAGGCAGTGGCAAAATGCCTTCATTGCTCAGCATCATAATCACAGTTGACATGTTTGGCCTGTCCTCTGGATTCTGTTGAACACATAACAATCCCACATGGACTGATCTTAGTACTTCTGATATATAGTATGAGTCTACGAGATATGGATCTACTAGTTCCAACATCCGTTCTTCATTATGAAGCATCCATGCCTGCACAAAATGATCTCTCCATTAACAAAGGATTTAACTTATACACACTAACTCTAGCATTGAAGTTTAACTTGTGATAGTAGGTTAGATAATAAGCGCTTATAATAGAGATTTACATGTAATTTACTGTCTACACATAAAATTTAAATGCATTAACAAATACATTTTCTGAGTCTTTTTACCGTTAGGAGTTACTGTGCTTACATGTCCAAGAAGATTGAGGTGGTGGTCTGGATGAACAAATCGTCGATTCTTCTTTCCACTCACAATCTCTAGTACTAATACCCCAAAGCTAAAGACATCTGATTTCACTGAGAATATCCCCTCGACTGCATATTCCGGGGACATGTAACCACTGCAATAAAGAAACTACAGGATTATATAATGCAGCATGTGTTCATGACTACATATATAATCAAATATTAAATCTTACTATGTTCCAACAACACGGCGTGTATTGGCTCCTGTTTCATCTCCCCTGAAACTTCTAGCCATCCCAAAATCTGATATTTTTGGATTCATTTCAATATCAAGTAAGACGTTGCTAGCTTTCAAGTCTCTGTGGATGATTCTGAGCCTAGAATCTTGATGAAGATACATCAGTCCTCGAGCAATTCCATTGATAATATTGAAGCGCTTAGGCCAATCAAGTAATGCTCTCCTTTCTTCATCTGTCAAATGTTCTCAACGTATTACTAAAGGTTTCTATAACAACGAAACGAAGCTTTGTGAAATCAAAATTGATTGCATTGAAAGAAATGGCCACTCAGTAGATGTGAAAGACTAACCAAATATATATAATTCCAGGCTTTTGTTTGGCAAGTACTCATACACCAACATCTTTTCTTCTCCTTGGATGCAGCATCCTAGAAGCTTTACAAGATTCCGATGCTGAAGTTTTGCAATGCACTTAACTTCATTCTTGAACTCGTGAAGTCCTTGCTCTGATGTTTCTGAAAGTCGCTTCACTGCTACTTCTTGTCCACCTTCTAATACACCCTGTAAAAGTAGCAGTCTTGTTAGAAATTTGATGGAGTGAATCGTCAATTTTTCCTTACTATTGCAATCAAGTTCTTGTTCAGGCAGCATCTACTTGCAATTTTTATTTCACAGCTTATCCCATGGTTGATAATCTTTTCCAGCTGATATTCCTTTTCGTTGAATTTGAAACCTTTATTTATAAAACATTATCGGTCTTGAAACAAGGCTCTCAACTTAACACTCATTCTGCTCATCATACTAGCAAACACTGGTGTATATACAGATTCCAAGAGTTGATATTCCTTTCAAGAAAAGCAAAGAAATTAAGTTTCGAGTATCATTACTTGGGGTCTGAGGAATGTTTCTACCTTGTAAACTTGTCCAAAGCCACCCTCTCCAATCTTATTCGCCAATGAAAAGTTGTTGGTAGCATTGGTTAACGTTAATAAGTCAAAAAGCGGAAGCTCAAAATTTTCCTGGTGAATTTGATTACTGTTATCATTCTTGTTGCTGTGACCACCTAATATCCCTGCAATTTGAACGTACAAGTAGACCTTGCTCAAATAAGGAGCTTGAAAAGAAATACTAGTGGTATACAAAACTAATAACTAGTTGCTTCCGGTCTTACAATAGACATAATTGGTACTTTCACTTACCTGTTGTTGTAAGCACCGGATTCTCTCTCCTTTTACGTTTACAAAGAATCAGGCCTAAACCTAAAGCGAGCAGAATCAATGCAACCAATAGTGGCAAAGCTATTGCAAGTATAACAGTTATCTTTCTTGTTGATCCGGCAGAACCTGCAACGTATCCCATCGAAATTCTATCAATAGTTGTTTCTAGTAATGCTAGAAGTTTTTTCTTTTACATTTGTTGTATTTATGTCGAGGAAAACAAGACCGTCCTTAAAGTCTTATTCCCACAATGTGGACTTGGATTACCTTTGTTCCTCAGATGAGCTGACTTTCTGGCACTGAAGTACAATTAACATGGCTATGATTTATGAAATTGCATACTAAATATTACCTATCTCTGAAGCAGACATCCTAATGTAGATATCCTGTCCTGATTGAGATAGCTGTCTGATGTCAATTAACTCGTCAATCCATATCAAGCACCCACTTCCTCCATTGCGTATGTCCAGATTTGTGTAAGCCGTACACGAACAATTTCTCAAGCAAACTACCCTGCATTCATGTAGTGTCATTGTCTCATTGAACCAAGAATTTCGCGTATCAGGCAGTTTAACACCAGAATACTTAATAAATCCATCTCCTGTGCAATTCAGAGGGATCTTCCGGACACAACCACTAGACCAGTCAGATCTTTCCCAATCATCAGGATGTTTTGGCTCGAATTTATCTAAACATTGACAAAAAGGATCACTCAAAATGTTGCAAGTCCCATATGCACCACATAATTTGTAGGTGTCACAGTCATCCACAGCTGCAGAGTGGTAATTTACCCATCCCCGAGCCTTTCCAATCCAAATGATACGCATAGCTTTCCCATAAGGCTCTAAAACAAATGTTGAAATAACTGATTTGTTCACCATCTCATACTTGTAGTAAATTTCCCTACTATTTATAACCACGCCAAAAGAAATGATAGAGTTGTTCACCAGATTCGGTGCACCACTCCACCTGATACCATTCCACGGCCCTGCTCTAAACGTCACATTACCCCTTTTTCGCATAAGGTTTTGTGGATAACCCGCAGGATCACAGTGATAAGTATAATCCCCTGGAGCAGGATCATCACTACTTCTCCAAGAAGTAAGATACCTTTCTAATCCAGTCACCAAGTCCGTCCCAAGTTTCATACCTTCCAACAACGTATCACTAGGATAGTCAAAACTTTGCCAAAGGAAATTCTCTGGATTCGGATCATTAGCATCTCTCACCACAAAATTCCCCGTGTCCAACAACTGAGCAACAGGATTCTGCACAGACTTCGATGAATTCGTGGACCAAACAATTGCATTAGTATCATCCACAAGTACAATCAGACCTGGCTGAAAAACTTTCAACACCCCATATTTATTAGTGATAGGAGCTAGTCTATTGGCAACCCAAACAGGAGTAGTAGCAGAGGTTTTCTTGTACCATATTCCAACATAGTGATTTGTAGAAGTCTCTCCACGACTGAAGAATCCTAACTCGAACGTTCCACGAGACGAAACAATAGTATCACCATGTTTAATGAATTGAGTTGTAGTCATAGTATCTCCTTGACCACTAACATAGTGAAGAAACACAAAATACAAGAGAAGTAGAATAAATTGAAATATTGCTATATCCATGATAGTTATATTTACCTTTTGTTGCACTGCATTCTTTCTTCAAAATTATTAAAAAGAATTTAACATATTCAATCTCTTTGTGTGGTATTCTTTACAGTAAGTAACATTGTCTGAGAGACGACCAAGACTTCATTTTTTGCTGGTCAATTCGTTTAGACAGCAAAACTGCGTGGCAGATTTGCTGCCAAAGAATGAAATTACTCCGTTTCAATTTATTTGTCTGAGTTTGATTTAAAAAGAAGACAAACAACTAATAATATTTTATTTTTATAATTAACAATTACCTTGGATAAGTGCCACGAGTGAAATAGTCACTACAAGAAAACTATCAATTATATAGACACTTTCTTGGGAATTAGTATGAAAATTTGCATTAAGTTTACTGTGAATTTTCATACTAATTGCCATATAGTTCACAGTTTTTATTAACGGGATCAGAGGGAGTATAATACTAAGAAAGAACTTGCTCTTTCTGCCACAATTAATGTGATAATGTTTGATTAGATACTAAATTTCAAAAATAAAAAAAAAGCTTTTGAATTTAATCTAGAATAAATTTGAGATATTTGGGTCCTAACATTTTAGTAAACGTCAACTCCTTACCTTGCCATGTCACATTTTACAATTCATTTTCACCAAATGACGTGAATAAAAATTTAATGAAGAAATGAGTTTAACAATCAGTTTTATTTATTTTATTTTATTTTTTTGTCTTTGAAGAATGTCAAATATTTTTAAACTATTCCAGATGCATTTTTATTTCCAAGCCTAAATTTGGGACCACATCTACCCTTACTATTAACGGTCCTCCACACAACCTGCCACACCTATTTTAATACTAGTCCTGAACACGTGCTTTGCACGTGAGACCCATAAAAATATAATATGTTATAGAAGATACATTAAAATCACATTATGATGAATTTCAGAAATGACTTAACGAAAAAAATATATAAATGAAATAAATGAACAATCAACCTTTATAAATGACTTCTTGTCGTAAAATGTAAATGTCAAATAATTAGATATTTCGGCAACCTGTCAAATTTGGACAATGAAATTTAATGTGATAAATAATTTACCTTTTTATGTTATTAGGTCGAAACCTACAATATATTAGTTTGTTACTTCTCTCGATGAAAGGGACAATACAAACATTACATACCTTCTCAATTTGTACCAAAGTTTGAATTAACCTATATACTTGTAACAAGTGTATAAGTTGTCTTCATATTACATTCACATCACACAGTGTGTTTATTCTTCTTTGTAGCATGAATAAAAATTTCAATAGTTTGATCATGGTTATTTTTCATACTTCTTATCATTCTTTAATTTTTTTTGCCCTTTTTTTTCTTACTTTATTATTGTTTTCTCTAGCATTACTATTTTTTATCCTTAGACTTAATTCTTGTCTTCCCCTTTCGTTTATATATGTTCCATCCATTTTGTTTTTGTTGTTTTATTTTTTACATCCACATTGTCATTCATAAAAAATAAATAAATTAAAGAATTATCTACAAACACAAAATAATTAAAAATGAATTTTCTTTCACTTTTGATTGTAATTTATAAATGTGTAAATTTATTTTAAAGAATTTAAAATTCTTTTATATGAATTCATGAAATGATATAAAATAATGAGATAATTTAACCTACATATTTCAAATCATGATTCATAAGTAAACATGCATACACATTTCAAGATGGTGAATACATTCGAAAATGCTTATAAATATGAAATATTTATTTAAGAAAATAGAAGCAACATATTATTTGTTCGATTTAACTTACCAATAAAAAAGAGAATGAAAAAATAATTCTTGAGTGGTTTGACTCCATCTTTGCATTCACTAATTCACAAGTTATGCTTATCAAATAATCCATGAACATCCCATATATATAATTGTTAACAATTACATTGAAGTGGACAATAATAATGTGAAATAAGTGTCATCAAGATAATTTTTCAGTTCTAAAATGCTTTCTTATCTTCCACTATCTTTAATACATAATATAATGCACATTTAAAGACCCCCATTTATATCTAGTTTTGTATTTAGTTATTAGAATATATTTTTTATTTTGTACATAAAAAAAGAATATTTAAATGAAGGACAAAATGGTAATTCAACTTTGAGGTTAGAAGTTTTCCACTTATAATAAATACAAGAGGAAAAGAAAAGAAATTTAGGTAAAGATTTTTTTAAAAAATTATAATTATTATATACATATAGATTATAGATGATAAATATTAATAGATTAGATATTTAATTAGGAATTAATCTTAAGAAGTCTAGAAGTCATTAACATTTAATTAAATTTATGCAATCAAATATTTAAATATTTTATAACAATTAAATTTATAGAAAGGGTAAAATCGTAATTCAACTTTCAACTTTTTTGTTCATGCTTTTAGTAATACTAGTTTCAGTTGCACGTTTATCCCAAATATTTTATATAAATTTTGTTTTGTAAATGACATATTTTCTCCACTTCAAATTTATTAGTATTTACTAAAAAAATCATTGTTTTTACAATTGAAAGTTCATATATCATCCTAATAAAAAAAAACGCAAATCTTAATTATAAAATTGACTAAAAGTGCATAAATGGTTAATTCATGTACTAATATGATGATTTAGTTTATTAAATAATTTATAACATTGAAATTTAATGTAGGAATAGAATTGTAATCTAACTTTTTCCTAACATATATACACACAATGATGTAATATTATATTCTTAGTTTACTTAATTAATTGTTAATTATGTTTTCTTTTTCTTTTTTTATGTGAATGGTTCATAAGAAGCTGATATTATTGAAATTATTGAAAGACTAAAAGATTACAATTTATTAAGCTCCTAAATCTTGTAACTCTTTATTTTTCTACTTTTTGATAATTAAAATTCAAGTTTCATAATGTTCTTTTTTGGCATAGACAAGATAAAGATAAAGACTTAGACTCAACAATTTTAAGATCCAATATGGATAAAACTATCACTGCTACATGAAATTAGATCCTTCATAATACTCTTCTCTCGAACTAATTAGAGAGTGATATAATAATTATAACTCATGAAGGTTATTTAAAAAACAATTTCACAAATGAACTGAAATCAACATATTTATTTTGATTCCTACTTCACGCGAGTATTGAAATATTATTATTAGATAAAATGAAAGAAATTAGCGAAGTCATAACATTCTTGCAATTAACACAACTTCCAAATCTTCTTCAAATCAGAAACATCAAACATCTTAATAGAATAATACTCAAACGTAACTAACTAAAGAAAAACAATAGGGAGAAAAAGAGGTATCAGCTTAAATCTTGAACAAACAGACACACACTTTTCATTTATTCATGCCAATAACATTTTTAACTATATCTACCGGCCCTTGTATGGAACTCTTTAATTGACACATTAAAGATAAATAATGAAAAAAAAAGAAAAGGACACGTGGTATTGAAACTGCAGAGGAAAATTTCAATGAATTTACCATGCTTCACTAAAGTGACTATTTATAAAATTCTATAACTATAGTTGGAAGTTGAAAAGACCTTACAAACATTGAATTAATTTAGTAAGATGAAAAGTTATTTTAAAGTATTGAAAATGCTGAAATAAATGACAATTGAAAGCATATTAATTCACCTCTTTGTATGCCCAAATACTTAATTGATTTTTATTAAAATTTAAATATGCCATGTATGTGGACATTATGATGTAGTATTGAATATGATGATTTTCTTCATTAATGATAGAATATTTAATTAATATTTTAATAATAATTTTATTTAGTGTAGGATAAAATAGTAATTCAACTTTTAAGTTTTGAGCTTCATGCTTATAATAATATATGATATGATTATATAATTGATGACGTGGTTTGCTAACATTAAAAAATAAATATGTTTATTAATTTGGTAACTTCCGTTTATATTCTTTAACTTTGAGGGTAGACATTTAAATTTGAATAAATAAACGCGTGCATCGTATGTGTCATAGTACACTTAAAACACCACATAAGATATTGTATAGGGCGTGATTTATCACGCAGGATTTTAAATAAGACGTATGTCTCTACCTGTTCAACTCTATAAATTTCAGCGTCTACTTGTCGTTGTACACATCCAAAATTAGATGACACATGTGTAGGCAAGTTAAATGCCACATTCATCTATTATCCAAAATAAAATCAATTAATCTTTTTTCTCTATAAGAAAAGTTGTACCCTTGTTTCTTATATTTTTTTAATAAGAAAAAAAGTGGATGACATGGATTAACTTGGATTATTAGTTAACTATGCTACTATTACTTATAATAAGCTTAATAAAACACAATCAAACAATTCACAAACATGTATATTATTACTTGCATTATATTTATGTTCATGTTCTTGTCTTCAATGCACCAAATTTTGTAACAGGACGAGAGGTGTATTTATCCTCTTGGAAAAATGAAGATGATCCATCTCCTGGTGATATCATACATATCATTGTGATCCTTCAAGATATCCACAGAACATCCTGAAGAAGGGATCAAATGTGATATATCGCTCTGGAGTGTGGAATGGTGGGGCAATAAGCTCAAGAGACAGTACTTTCTATAAAATATGAAATATTTTCAAGTAAGAAAGAGGTGTACTTTGGATATAACCTCACATCTTCAGTTATCGCGACATTGGTACTTAACTAAAATGGTGTAGCACAACTTTTGACTTGGGGTGATGGTTGGGGTCCTTACATCGTAATACCTGGAGATAACTGTTATACGTATAAGTTATGTGGCTCATATGATAGCTGCAACAACAATGATTTTCCAATCCTAGCTATGTGGATGTTTGGACAAATTTGTGCCAAACAATAGGTAAATTACTTACTTGCATTCTGGCATCATCAGTTGGTGTAATTTTTGTATTCCTTAGCCTGCTGATCTACCATGGAATAAGGAATTAGATGACATCCAAGCAAGTTCCGTAGTATTTGCAATTTAAATGAATTCACTTCATTTGCTGTTGGCAGGAAAGTTGGAACAAAGTGGCAATTATAACATGGATTTTAACCGTGTGTCAATTGCGCTGAAGAATTTGAAATACCATTGTTTGATTTATCAATCATATCGAAATGTCATGTCCCGCCACTTTGCCAGTCAAATTTTGCATCCCGATAGGAGCAGAAGAATCTAGAGTTATGGAGAGGCTTATGGAGAACTCTAAAATCCCTTTCATATTTCAACAAGACTTTGGAATATCTGTAGAGAATTCTAGAGGTACCAAAGTGAAATACTTAGAGATTTATAAAGTAATTATTAATTGCACTTTAGCCCCTAAATTGTAGTATAAATAGATGAACATTCATTTACAAAGCATCACTCAAGTTATATGCAATCTTCCAAGCAATAAAATAACTTTCTTCTAAAAGATCTCTAATCTTTTTAAGTCTTTCTTTTCCTTCTCTTTGCTATCTAGCTTCAAATGGGTTTACTTGATCTTACAAGATTCACAATATTAGTTAGACTCTAAGTCCGTGAAAGAATCGTAAGTGTCGCACAGAACATTAGTTAGACTCTAAGTCCGTGACGAAAGGGCTACCAATAACTTTTCAACAGACTGAAACTTTAGATTGGAGAAGTGGCGTTTGGACCTGTTTACAAGTTATCAACACTTGAGGCCTGTTTAGAAATACATCGATTTATGCCTAAAAGATAATTATGCATAGTATAGATGACAGACAAAAAACTTCCCGCTCTTTCAGAGTAAAGCTTCATCTTTAGATTAGTGTACTTTCTCATCAGGATAGTCAAAGAAAATGTTAACATGTGAAGATTGTGATATTTAGGGCATAGTCAAGCAGTTGTCTACAACTTACACACAAGGAGAAAATGAGTTCAAGAACGAAGTTATATATATGACTAAACTTCAACAAAGGTATCTAGTGAAGATTGTTGGTTATTGCATTGAAGATGAATAAAAAATGTTGATATATGAGTACTTGGAATGTTGATTCATTCCTATTTGGTACTATCCACCATCCAATAATATTCTGTAAATTATATACTTCACTGTGAACTGATAATCATAGTACTACTTTCCAAATATTCTGTTACTGAGCTAATGAAATTTTGGCCGATGACACACAAAGCACGGTAATCAACAATATAGCTCAGGGAGTTATATATGTGTGTGCATCAACATTCACAATTGAGGATAATTCACAAAGACCTGAAAACTAACAACATTATGCTAGACAAGAACCTGAACCCAAAGATATCAGACTGCGGCTTGGCAAAAAAAGGTGCAAAAATATGTAAAGAGGATGACATTAGAGCCCAGACAAACCAAGTTATGTTACGTTTTCCAGCAATATCAACTCAAATTTGATTTTTGTGTACATTTTATTTGCGGGGTAACTCTCACCAGAATATGCACTGCATGGTTGTACTCAGTAAAATCGGATGTATTAAGTTTTGGTATCTTAGTATTGGAAATTGTGAGTGAAAAATAGCAATAGACGATTCTCTCATCCAGATCATTACCTTAACCTACTCGGACATGTAAAATTTTCCATTTTCTTTTAATATATCTATCCTAACATATTTATCTACTAGTAACAAATATGTTACAAAACTAAGTCAGCTTGCCGTGATAATAAGCTTGTAAAATGTACATGCATGGGAAACTTGTAAAGAAGGTAACATAGAAGTACTTGATGATCACCTAAATGATTCTTCTTTAAGATTAGCGGTACGATCAACCTGTGTTGGTCTATTATGTGTCCAACAATGTCCTGAAGATCGTCCAAAAATGTCATATGTTGTTGTGATGATGTTAAACAACGAAGGTGCATTGCCACTGGCTAACAACCAGGTTTTTACATAGATCCCAGATAGTGAACAATTAGCTCACTTGTTTGCAACACTTTGTAGCAGTACATGTGGCTAAGCTTGCAACGTGCTGCCATCGGCCTTTACACCAAATTCAATACATATTTTTGGCTTGTTATGTTAATGAACCTTATCTATCAATTTGATGTAAATATTAAATGCGTATAACTATTTTTTGTGGACCTTAGATACCTGGCCATTTGAGGTCAATTTATAATGATGGACCATGCAACTTTTCATAAATGACACGAAAAGCATTTAACACTTTAAGGCTTTTGACTTTATACTCACTCCGTCCAATAATAGTTGTCCATTATTAGTGCCGACAATGAGCGCATATTTGGTAACTCGCCCAATTCGCTCATATTTTTTTGGGTTGGGTGAGTGATTTTTTATATGGGTAAAATATGGATTGATACTCATATTCAACCCATAAAATATGAGTAAAATATCGGTAAACTATGGATAAAATATCGATAAAATATGGACAAAGTATGAATTAACCAAATGGGCTAAGCTTCAACTTTTCTTCACTCAATATTCATGATATAACTAAATATATTGTAACTTCTCTTCCTTTTTATGTCTTCTATAAAATTAATTATTCTTCTCTATAACCGAAATGATTAGTATTGACACTGCTTAAAGTGCATCAAGTTGTTTTAATCCTGAAATTAAATATTCGTTTACTTTGATAAAATACATACATTTGTTTAATATTGAAAAGTTTATAAGATTTTCTTTTACTTTTATGATACAATATAACTAAATAAAGTATTTTAAACAATTTTCATATAAAAAAGACAAATATTTTCTCCATATTGAATTCTTAAGTAGAACACTATTTACTCATGAAAATATGGGTAAATATATATATGGGTAAATTAGTATTTTACCCAACTCATTTGTTACCCAATCAATTATTTCCAATATCAAATATGGGTGGGTTTTTATTATTATCCATTTTATGTTAATTCATTTTCAACTGGCTCAAATTTGACCCAAAACCGTCTATTTGTCACCCTAAACATAATACATAAATGTACCGTTAAATTTGGCCTCAATCGGCATCTACGTCCTCCAACTTTGAGCGTGCAGAAGTATACCCTAAAACTTGTATAAAGTTGAACAAGTAAAACATGTGTCCTAAATTACGAATGACGCAAGTTGGTGCGTAGAACTCCACGTAAGATGCATGAGTCTACTTCTACAAGTTTAAATGTTTATTTGTACACTATCATTTTGAAAGGCATAAAACATTGTATTATGCCATAATTTATGTAGCTCTTGTTCCCTTGTCGATTTCTTCTATAGAATTTTAATGAGACTGCAGTTTTTTGTGAAAAAATTCAAAATCAAATACCAAACATTAAAGGGATGAAAGTGACACAACTTCAGGAGAAAACATAACAATTTTGAAAACTTTCAACAAGAACACAATTCAATTCTGCAACATAATGACTATCAACAATTTTAGTTTTAATTACAATTCTAATTCTGCCAAAATATAGAGAGTAAATCCCCTTTATTTTAGGGCATGGTACAGTAAATACATCCATTTTTAATAATTAACTCATTAATTACTCAACTACCAAAGACCAGGTCAATTTTCACTGCTAATGAATGATGCAGTTGAGACAAATTGCTTCTTTATACAGGAGGGCAAGTGGTGAGCCTAATCCAAAACTCGGTGAATAATGAATCTGCCTTTCTATCTTTTTCCACTTTATCAATCAGACACGTGACATGTACCTAACTCCTACATCATGTATCGCGCTTTTTTACCATATATATCTATTCTAGTCATCCACTTATAAACAGTAAATAAAGTAATGAATGATTCGAGTAAAAGTAGTTGTGTCTGACATCACTAATATATCCTCAAACAAATGAATTAATCCAAAAAAATGCACACTTTTTTTGGATTCTAATGTTTAATTTTGGAGCCTACCATTGCCAATTAGTTGGAGCCCGCCAGAGTCCTGTAGGGTAGCATAGGTAACCCCCATCTACTCAATTGAAAAAGATTGAAGAATTCAAAATCTATTTCTAATACAAAATTCAAAGTATCTATTTGAATTCTGAGGTTAACTACTCGAAAAGAGACGAAAACGACAAGTCAAATATTTGTTGTTTAGAGAGAAATGTCATCTTATAACAGAAATGTTCTTCTTTTGGTTTGATTTTTCACATTTTTCCAAATATTTCCAGAAGGACTAAACAATTTCCATGAAAGGCTTTATCTTTTTCTATTTCTGTTTCTCTAATATAGTGTCATATCTATTCATATTTTCCACTGCTTTAGACACTATATCGAACGATAACTCCATCAAAGATGGACATACCATAGTTTCAGCTGGTGGAAACTTTGAGCTTGGATTTTTCAGCCCTGGAAATTCCAAGAATCGATATATCGGTATATGGTACAAGAATTTACCTAAAGGCAGAGAAGTAGTGTGGGTTGCCAATAGAGTGAACCCACTGAATGACACTTCTGGCATATTAACAGTCAGTAGCAAAGGGATTGTACTACTCAATGGAAATCAAGACGTGATTTGGTCATCGAATTCATCGAGAAGTTTGATAAAACCAGTGGCTCAGCTTTTGGACACTGGAAATCTTGTCTTAAAAGATAACAGTTTGGTAAATAAAAAGGACTATGCTTGGCAGAGTTTTGATTATCCAGACAGTACTTTGTTACCTGGCATGAAGTTAGGCCTTAACTTGGTCACCGGCAAGTATTGGACTATGTCGTCGTGGAAGAGCAGTGACGATCCTTCTCCAGGAGCATATCTGGATCGCCTCGACACCAGTGGTTATCCTCAATTCTTTGTGTGGGAAGGTCCTGCAATAAAGTTTAGCTCAGGAATATGGAATGGACATTTATTTGTTGGAGGACCAAATTTGAAACCAAATCCTTATTATACATTTGAGTTTGTGAACAATGACAAGGAGATTTACTATAAATATGAGCTTATCAATACTTCTCTTCCAAGCAGGTTGGTCTTGAATCCAGCAGGCCTGCTTCAACGACTCTTATGGATCGAACGAAACCAGAACTGGTTCCTTTACTCCACCGGACAGATGGATAATTGTGACCGTTATGCCTTGTGTGGTCAATTTGCACGGTGCAATATCAATGACTCACCTCCATGTGATTGTTTGAGAGGATTTCAGCCTAAAAATCAACAAGAATGGGATACAGCAGATTGGTCTAGTGGGTGTGTACGAAGAACTCCGTTGACATGTGGGACAAGTGACAGGTTTCTCAAGTATTCGAGCGTGAAATTGCCAGATACACGCCATTCCTGGTTCGACAAAAGCATTGGCCTCGAGGAATGCCAAAGGCTGTGTCTGAAAAACTGTTCATGTACAGCATATTCCAATCTTGATGTTAAAAATGGCGGGAGTGGATGCTTACTGTGGTTTAAAGAACTCGTTGATATCAGGGAATACGCTGAACTTGATCAAGATCTCTATGTAAGGATGGCTGCATCAGAATTAGGTAACTCTCCTTATGCTAAGATGAATCATACATTCATACCACAGGGGAATTTTAGTAACTCAGTTGATTGACTATCTGAACTTTCACCTTGTTTTTGAGGGTTCAGTTCCAAATCCCCTTTCCCATTTTCCATTTTTCCTTCCCCTACCCGGCTACCCCCACCCCCATTTCAAAAATAAGAATCATACCGGAAGGTTTTCACAAGTCATAATGAACTTTTTCACAGGTTCAGGCTACATGGGAAACACAAGAATATCAGTCATTGCAATTATATTAACAGTTTCAGCAATCATCCTTGTTGGTTTTCTATTTTGGTTTGCTATGCAGAGAATGAAAGGGGATAGAGGTTAGAAAATTTGTCCGTCACGTTGAAAGTATAGTTATTTCATTCACCTCAATATCTTTACGAAAAGAAGTTCAATTTTACAGGAGTAGGAGAAGGAAAAGGAAAGGGAGATATGGAATTACCTTTGTTTGATGTGATGACTATTTCTGCTGCAACTAATAATTTCTCATCTGATAATATCATCGGAGAGGGTGGTTTTGGATCTGTTTATCGGGTAACTTGAATTTGTATTCTCTCTGTATCTTAGTCAAATATATGAATGATTCTCTTGTGGCTTAGACTTCGCGTGGATTGTGTGACAGGGAAAACTATCAACAGGACCAGAAATAGCAGTAAAGAAGCTCTCCAAACATTCCGGACAAGGTTTTGAGGAGTTGAAGAATGAAGTTGTTCTGATTTCCAAACTTCAGCATAGAAATCTAGTTAGGCTTCTAGGTTGTTGTCTTGAAGGGGAAGAAAGGATGCTAATTTATGAATATATGCCAAACAATAGCTTGGACTTCTTCATCTTTGGTTCGATTCTCTTGACTCATTTCGTCTAAAATTCATCTTATCATATCAGTATTGTTCTGCTAACGCAAAACGAACTGATGTTTCTGCAGATGAATGCAGGAAGAGACAACTTCCCTGGGAAAATCGATTTCGTATTGCAATGGGAATATCAAGAGGGATTCTTTATCTTCACCAGGATTCCAGATTAAGGATCATACATAGAGATCTAAAGACGAGCAACATTTTACTGGACAGTGAATGGAATCCCAAGATTTCAGACTTTGGACTGGCTAGGATTATTGGCTGTGACCAAAACGAAGCAAGAACAAAAAGAGTAATAGGGACATAGTAAGTTCAATTAGATAACTCATTCACGCTTTCATCTTTACCTCTGTTGGTATGCTTATATAGACTTGGGCAATTCACCCTCATAAACTAAATTTGAGTTGAGTTAGACTCAAGTGTCATATTCTTACATGGTATCAGAGCCAGGTAAATCCCGTAGGGCTCCTTGTTCATGCTGGTGGTTTGCTTATATGAAATTGGGTAATTTTCCCCTTATGAGACATGTGTCATATCTTTATGCAGGAAGAGACATGTGTCATATCTTTACAACCTCCACAAAATTACTTAACCCATATTAAACATTATATGTCTTTGTGCAGTGGATATATGTCTCCAGAATACGCAGTTGATGGGAAATTTTCAGTGAAATCAGATGTTTTCAGTCTTGGTGTTCTTCTGCTAGAAATAGTAAGTGGAAGAAAGAACAGAACATTTCGTCATCCAGATCACCACCATAGTCTTATAGGACATGTAAGCAAGATACAAATCCAAACATTTGCTTTTGTCATTTCATGCTACACTTGTATTTCCTACATGTCATTGAAAACTATAATTGATTTTGCTATAGGCTTGGTTATTATGGAACGAAGGAAAAGCCTTGGAACTAATCGATGATTGTTTAAAAGAATCGTTTGTGGAATCCCAAGTGCTAAGATGTGTTCATGTGGCACTGTTATGTGTTCAACGACTAACAGATGAAAGACCAACAATGTCATCAGTGGTATTCATGTTAAGCCATGAAGAAGTGGCATTACCTCAACCAAAGGAGCCTGGTTTCTTCATAGAGAGAAGTATAGCTGAAACAGATGATTCAAATGAGAAAAGGTGTATCAGTGACAATGTTTTGACATTAACAATTCTTCAACCAAGATAGCAATGGCGGAACCAGAAATTCAAGAACCTTCTATGGTATAAAGGTGATTAAACAACTAATGTATATACAATGCAGAATATATGTTCATCCCTATATGCACAGTAAAATATTTTGACAAAGAGTCTTCAACTGAACCCCCTCTAGACCATGCAGCTCTGCCCCTGATTGTTATTGGACGAGCAGTTATTAGCATGCTTACAAGAACAATTGCATATATCTTTCTGATATTTGATTAAGACTCGCGAGCCATCAGGACCATTGTGTCAAGTTGTGCAAATTGTCAGAACATGATGAAAATGGACATATAAGTTGTTACACTGTATGATGACTTAAAGTAGATCTGAATGGCTAAATGATAGCCCTCTGACTTTGTTGAGCAATTATTTTTCCTCGTGACTACAAATCAACATCATGTCCTGGGGGAGTGTTTCTTTGCAATCACATTCATCATATCTTTTTCTACATCTCTATCACCAAACTTGAGTTTTGTGCAACTTTTTTCTGGTTTTTCTACCCCGTGTTCAGTACCAGCTTTGAGGGCAACTATTCAGGATTCCCTCTTTAGCCAGTAAAATTCCTTCCCGGGATTAAAACCCCGGGAAAATCTATTGAAATTACATATCATGCTCATGACAATCTGCATAATATATGGGGCGGGACTTTTTTTGAGAAGTGCTAAACAGGGTAGGGCAAGGCGGGTCGATATCTTAGCAGGTCAAGGCTTGTCTCGTGTTAACCCGTCCTATTGACATCCCTACCTACTTTAAGGTAGGCCAGCTACAACAAGACACCCATAAATCCCAGAATGCCTACCTTCCTAGTTCCTGAAACTATGTAAAAGTAAAACTTTGCATTTGATTCTCATTTGAACAACATACAGATTTATATTCAGAGGTAGTTACAATAAGTAGAAGGAAATGTTCTCGAAAACACTCACAAAATAATAATTCAAAAAATTGAAGTCATTCCCAACAAAAAAAAAGGCCGTTCAATCAAGCCAAAAAACAAATCCCCTGATGGTTCATACTCCTAAGGCATAAAGCAGTGCAACGGAAGCTCCTACAGTGATTGTCCAGAGATATATGGTTTGAGACAAAGTATTAGCACCACTGCATTGGTCATTAGAACCACTGAAGCATCCAGGTCTACTTACCTTAGGCTCAACTCCACCTGTGGAAAAGCTACTCTTTGGTTTGCCATTACTGAAGAGTACACACCAGAAATAGGGGCCACCACCACCGGAGCCACTCACAGCAGCACCAACCTCAGTGTGATTCTTGCTATAGAGAATATCCAAACTCTTGGTATTTCTTATAAGAATATCATTGAATGCTTCAGAAGGTTCCGCATACTTAGATTGACATGCGAGAAATCTTCCAGTTATTTGAGCAAGCGATGATGCCTGCACACCACAGTTGGGGGCAAATTCTTGGGCGAATTCAGATTCAGCAGGTTTCTTTCCATCTGGCCCTCCAACTACTTTACAATCACCTCCGTATGCTTTTATATATTGCAGAGCCAAGCATGCCAAGCCAGGGTTACTGTATAAGGAGGATAATTTATTCGCAGTTCTGTTACTATTAAGGGCAGATACCAGCTCATCAGCAGGATTATCAGTTACCTTGGCTGTAGTTTATCAGGCCAATATATGTGTTAGAGATTGATCATAAAGGCAATAATAGTGAATCAAGATCGAGAAGATATCTGCTTGAAGGAATACACATTGAGAATGACAAGCGTACATTACATCTAAACCCAAGAGGCTTGAGACACATGTCAGTATGCTTTCGATAATTGGAAGTACAAGCAATTATCTAAGACTGACTAATGTTAGAAGAGCTAGAGAAGGAGAGTAAAAATCATTTAGGATGTGACTATAATTCTAGCACACTCATGGAAAGATTATCAACAACAACCATATTAGCAAGAGAGTTATAAGAAGCAAAGGACAAAGATAAAAGATTAGGCACCCACATAGTATCCGAAGGCATAAATTAAAGCAACTTGAGCATTGTCCTTCCATTAGTGGGTTAGAGTCCCACAATTGCTAGGGAAAGACTAATGGTTTGCTTATACGTACTTTGACAATCCTCCCCTCATGAGCTAATTTTGGGGATGTCACACCCTGGTGTCATATTGTTGGAATGGATTAGAGTCTACATTAGTTGGAGAATGACTAGTGATCTCCTTATATGGAATTAGGCAATCATCTTCACATGAGACGGCTTTTGTGGCTAGGTGTTATATCTCTACGGGTATCTTCTCATAATACCACAAATTACAAAGACCGATAAGCCATTTGAGCAGCTTCCCCTAACTATTCACAAAACCAGAATTTGCAGATTGACTAAATAGTTTCTAGTCAGTGCTATAAATGCAACATACCAACAAAATCAGAATTTGTAGGTTGACTACATAGTTTCTGGTCAGAGTGCCATAAATGCAACATGTTCCTATACCATTAGCTAGCTTAACAAGGCAAGAATCACATAGAAACCAATGTTCTATTAGTAAGATATATCTTTAGTAATCTCACAATTATACAAATAACATATTCCAAATCCTTCCGAATACCTCCCAAGGAAACTCAAATTTGCACATTGCTAGTTAATATTGATCACTGTGGAGCAACCAGATAATATCATTAAACAAAGTCTAGAAAAGTAGATCTATAAATCTCAGAAACTATGCACTTTATATACTATAACTGAAATCCTATTAGCATGAACTCAAAATTTTTCAATGCTGAAATTACTAAGCAATCAGCACATTATAGTTTAATCAATAAATTATACACCAAAAATTGAAACTCAATCATTAATTAGATCCAACAGTAAGATAGTTTAAGTAGCAAAACACATTCAAAAATGAAAAAAAATAAAAAGAAGAATAAAGAATCCTTACTTTGAACTTTAGCAGCAGAAGCTGAGATGAAGAAAATGCAAAGAAGAGGAAACCATTGAAGCATTGCCATTTCTGTACAGAAGATGTCGGTGGGAGTGGGGTGGGTGGGTGTAGAGAAGAAGCTAGCTGTTGAGCAGAGGAAAAAAATTGTTTGTACGTCTACTTCGATCTGATGTTTTTTAAAACTCACCATGGTATTGAACTTAATTACAGTAATGCCACCAACTGAATTTTCATTTTTCATTTTCAACTGATAAAAGAATTAAAAATTAATGTATGACCAAACTGCCCCTAAAGAGTCCACGTGATTTCAAAACAACTTGGAACATAAGCTAGTAGAATTCTCTAAAGTTGATGCTCTTACATCCATAGAGTGAGTTTGTGAGTGATTTGAAATTTAAGTTATTATTATTTGTCAAATTTATTATGTACTTTACTTTATTAAAATATTTCATATATTAAGTATGAAAATATTCAAGTTGAGAGCTCCACGAATTCTACAATCTGCAATTCAAATTTATGTTGAGAGCTCCACGAATCCTACAATCTGCGATTCGAATTTAGTCTGTGAATTCCGAGCACCAATTAGGAAACCAAAGACAAAAATTACTTCATAGAGAATAGGTCAACTATGTTTGATAGAATATATTCATTGTCTCCCAAAATTGTAATGCATTATAATAATTGATATAGATAACATTCATATTCTAAAATTAAACAAATTATATCACATAATATTATAACTTATAAATGGTTGAAACTAGAGTTGTTAGGAGTACAATTGAAATAGATAACATTAATAGCCTAGAACTAAACAAATTATTTCACATAAACATTATAAATGGTTGAAACTAGAGTTGTTGGGAGTCTCAATGAAGAGAACCCCTCCAAAAATTGGCATATGCCACTAATTGCAGCGCGTACACGGTATTCTTTAGTAAAAGGCGAAAGAATAGTTCGCTATGTACTCACTGCGTGGCTGCGTCATTATATTTGCCTAGCTGTGCTGCATTTGTATATTGTGACAACTTTTGAATTTACTCGTTGTTTATCGATGTGGTAATATTCGGGTCGCCTCACTTCTTTCTTGCTGATTCTGAAGAAGTATATGCTCACAAGTGACTGATGAAATGTCCAATAGGATGTTTTGGACTGAGCATCTTGATTTTCCTATGCAGGTTTGGTTATAACTACATTCAAATTAAATATTTATACATATTCATAGCATTTCCCAGTTCACATACATTGCTTAAATAAAGTTTATCTGGTTCATGATAGTTCCGCCCTTGACTTTAAGTTGACCTTATAATGGCATTGAGTTGTGTGATGAACACTCAGAATTAATTGCAGTTTCTAGTTGTTCAAATTGCATCTTGTATGGTAACTTTAAACAGTGGTGGATCAAGATTTAAAGTTAATGGGTTCTGAACTAGCCAACTGAATCTATAGTTCATTTTAGTTATACATATTTCCGGGATCTATTAATAAGCATATATACTAGATTCGTCCAATCTAGTATCTAATAAGTAATATTGTAGCTCTGCACTGACTTTAAGTTGGACTTAGAATGGCATTGAGTAGTGTTCATTTATTTGCCCTGCCTTGATATGAAACTGGCATTAAGCTGCCTCTTTTAGTATACTCTATCATATATAAACTAGTACAAGTAAACACATTTCAAAACATCCAATAGTGATTATTTCTCTATCTTGGCTCAAGAACAGTTAACGTCGCGTTGTTACTTAGACATTCTTCATCAGTAGATTCCATTGGATTCCTCTCTGTGAAGAAACCTGGATGCCTTGGTTGAGGAAGAACCAGACCTTCATTTCCCAACCAAAAAACCACTGATGCCATTATAGGCCTGTCCTCTGGGAGTTTCTGGACGCATAACAAACCGACCTGGATGCATCTCAACACTTGAGATTCTGAAAATGATTCTTTCAAACGTTCATCCATGAATTCCAACGCGTTGCCTTCAGTCCAAAGTAACCATGCCTATATTACAAACAGAACAACACATTCATACAGTTGTAATCACAATAGGAAGCTAAGAGTGAATAAAGGGAATGAAGTTTTGTGCTTACATGTCCCAAGAGATTGTGATGATGTTCCAAATGACGAAAATTCCTGTTCTTTCTGCCACTAACTATTTCAAGAATAATTACACCAATGCTGAATACATCGGATTTTACTGAATATTTCCCATCAACAACATACTCCGGGGACATATATCCACTACATCAATTCAATAAGTTTATGATCATGTACTGATCTAATATAATAAAGATTCTACGATTTAAAGATGTGTAGAAACTTACTATGTCCCTACTATACTCTTAGTTTCTCCTTCCACTTGATCTCCACCAAATATCTTGGCAAGGCCGAAGTCAGAAATTTTGGCATTCATGTCAGTATCTAATAAGATGTTGCTGGTCTTGAGATCTCTGTGAATAATTCTTAATCTTGAGTCCTGGTGAAGGTAAAGAAGACCTCTAGATATTCCTATAGCAATTTCAAAGCGGTTCTTCCATGAAAGTGAAGTTTTTCTGCTTGGATCTGCACAACGGAGAACTAATCATTGAGTGATGCAGAGATATTGAGGACGTATATCAAGTACTATTTACTAATGGATCATGAAAAGCAGACCAAAAATGAAATAGTCCAAGCTAGCATTGGGCATAAACTCATAGATGAGCATCCGTTCTTCTCTTTCAAGGCAGCAACCCAAAAGCTTGACAAGGTTCCTGTGTTGCAGCTTGGAAATGAGAACGAATTCATTTTTTAACTCTCGTAAGCCTTGTCCAGAATGCTTTGATAACCTCTTCACTGCTATCTCTTGTCCATTTGGTAGGATACCCTGCAATTTCTATCAAGGGTCAAACATGCCATTTTAAGTTAGACGTTGAGGATCAAAGTTGATTTACCTTGTAAACCGGTCCAAATCCACCCTTCCCGATCACATTCATAGCAGAGAAGTCCCCAGTGGCAGTAGTAACAGTAACTAAATCAAACAATGGAAGCTCCATGTCCTCATTTTCAACTTCTGGACCTGTCAATATACATACACCCACCACAAACATGATATCAATGAGAATTTAGTAAAGGCAACCAATGTCAGCTAGATAGAAAATTCACCCAGCCAACACAGCATTTAGACTTGACAATTTTCTTATAAAGTTGTAGACAAGAGTGACTCAAGTATATTACCTATTCTTCTTTTCCTTCTTTGGAAGTAAAACCAAGCTAAAAAGCTGAGGATAAATGTTGCTACCACTGCTGAAATGACACCAATCAGGACTGACATCTTTCTCCTTTGCTTCCTGTCTGAATATGTTCAATAATTAGTTCAAGCAGTCTTCAATTTACATATACGTCTCATTTTGTTTTGAAGCGCAGCCTGCAAACTTGGTAATAAGTAATTTATTGACGGGGATTCTTCCGTTTCAAAGAGCTGTGCATTTATATTGAACAACAAAACGAAAATGGTGCAGAGTAGGGTCATTACCTATTTCTGAAGCAGCAACTCTCACAAACAGGTTTTGCTCATTTTGGCTCAACTCTCGAATATCAATGAGATCTCCGAACCATAGTAAGCATCCACTTCCGCCATTTCTGACATCAAGATTTGAGTAGGCTGTACAGTTGCAATTAGCTAAGCATAATTTCTCACATTCTTCAAGGTTAATGCTCTTATTAAACCAGGAGTTTCTAGAATCAGGCATCTTGATGCCTGTAAATTTAAGAAAACCGTCTTTGTTACAATCCAAAGAAGTGCTCCTAACACAACCAGAAGACCAATCTGCTGCAGACTGTTGAGGAACCCTGTGAAGTCATAATTAAGTAATCAATATAATATCTATGTGCTTGGTCCAAGAAATAGAATCAAACACACACATGAAGGGGCGTGTGAGATCATAACTAAGTAATCAAGTGTGTTATCGCTAATAGCTTAAGGTGTGATGATCACTCATTTTAACAATACCTAGGATTGAAACCTTGCAAACAGTCACATGGAGGGGAGTTATTGATGTTGCAACTTGAATAAGGACCGCATAAAGCAAAACGACCACAGCTATCAAACTGTACTGTTGAGTACAGAAACCAGCTTTGACTGCTCTCAATCCATGTTAGGTGTTCTATCAGCCCTTCCGGGTTGAGCACCATCCTGCTGGGCAGTGACTCGTTCTTAAGCTTGAATTGGTAGTAAATTTCCTGCTGATTAATTATAAACTCGGAAGTGTAATGTGTATTTGGTCTACTGTTAGCACTAACAGTAAATGCATTACCTTTCCATATCCCTGAGCTAGACACTATAGTTGAATTTTTCCACACAAACAATTGCGGGTATCCATGAGAATCAAGACGGTTTATATATTCACCAGGAGAAGGATCATCAATGCTCTTCCAAGACGACATATACCAATCCATGCCCGTGACCAAATTACGTCCAAGTTTCATTCCAGGTATAAAAGTATTTCCTGGATAATCAAAACTCTGCCATGCGAAGTTAATTTCCAGGTCTCTTTCATTTCCATCATTGACAACAAGGTTCCCGGAATCCAGGATCCGTGCTTTTGGATCCTTTAACGGTCTTGATGAGTTTGATGACCAAATTGATGTATTGGAATTATCAACAAGTACAAGAATTCCATTGGGTTTGAGTATTAACACTCCTGATGTGTCATTAAGTGGAATATCTCTGTTTGCTACCCAGACAACAGTTTGAGTTGATATCTTCTTGTACCATATGCCTACGTAACGATTCTTCGCATTTCCAGAACTGAAAAATCCAAGCTCATAAATCCCACCAGCTGAAACAATTGTGTCACCGTCTCTAATGGATCTATCTGTTGTGATCGTGTCTGATTCCGCGGAAATTAGTAAGATGAAGAAAAAATGGGAGCAAAGGAATAAAATCAGTAGCCCTTTTGATAGATTCTGACTCATGTTTAAAAGCATTGACACAGAAAAGAATACTGATTAACTTCTTTTTTTTTTGGTCATGTCCAAAAATGTTTCTATATAAAGAAAATTAAAAAAATAAAACACTTCTTTGAATACTCTAAACCTCTTAATGAAAGGTTAATCACAACTACTTCTAAGAATTAGATGTCAAAGTCTGAACTTGTCAAAAGTTGTACACCTTTGACTTCCCATTTCCACCATAACCTAGCGTTTGCAATTGCACGCTATAGAATTATTCGTACAAACATATGGCATGCAACTATTTTCTCGATGTAAACACATGTAATATATTCGAGTAAATTGCCTAAAACCTACCTAAAATGAGTTGGTATTAATGACGATGTGACATCTTGGACTAGTAACAGCAGACTAAGAAAAAAAGAAACTGATGTCTTTTTTATTTTCTATTAATATTAATGCATTCATTTTAAAAAGTTGTAAAGTCACCAAAGAATAGTTTGCCATGCTGCAAGAAGAATCTTCAACTTCTTGAATGGAAGTCATTTTTGATGAGGAGACTTTAGTTTCTACCATAAAGTCGGATTTTCCAGTGTGAATCCGGATTAATTGTGCTACAAAGCGTGTACTAAATGTGTGCACACACTTTCCGGTTTTCTTCTGAATAATTAGATATAATTTGTGGTTGATTGAACTTGGATTCCACAATGGCCTTACCTCGATTACAACGAGCTAACTTATAAACTGAGCTGATTCTGTTGATTCCATTGAATTCCTTTCGATAAAAAATCCAGGCTGCTTTGGTTGAGGAAGAACCAGGCCTTCATTTCCCAACCAGAAAACTACTGATGCCATTGTAGGCCTATCCTCAGGGTGTTTTTGGGCGCACAACAAACCAACCTGGATGCATCTCAACACTTGAGATTCCGCAAATGATTCTTTCAAACATTCGTCCATCAGTTCCAACGCTTTGTCTTCAGTCCAAAGTAACCATGCCTAAATCACAAACAGAACACATTTATACAAATGCATTCACAGTTAGAAAAAGTGAGTTAAGGGAACAAAGTTGAGTGTTATATGTGCTTACATGTCCCAAAAGATTGTGATGATGTTCCAAATGACGAAATTTCCTGTTCCTTCTGCCACTAACTAGTTCTAGAATGATGACGCCAATACTGAATACATCGGATTTTATTGAATATTTCCCATCAACAGCATACTCAGGTGACATATATCCACTGCACCAACTCATCAAATTTAAAATTCAAGTACTGATTGAATGTCTATTATAAAGTTTTGTACAACTTACTATGTCCCTATCACTCTCTTAGTATTTCCTTCCACTTGTTCTCCGCCAAAAATTTTGGCAAGGCCAAAGTCAGCAATTTTGGCATTCATGTTGCCATCTAGTAAAATGTTGCTGGTCTTGAGGTCTCTATGAATAATTCTAAATCTTGAGTCCTGATGAAGGTATAGAAGACCTCGAGATATTCCCACAGCAATTTCAAAACGATTCTTCCATGTAAGTGAAGCTTTTCTGCTTGGATCTGCACAATGTAGAACCAATTCTTGAGTGATACAGAGATATTGAAGACTTATCAAGTAGTAATATTTAGTTAATGAATCACGAAAAGCAGACCAAAAATGAAACAGTCCAAGCTAGAGTTGGGCATAAACTCATAGATTAGCATCTTTTCTTCTCCTTCAAGGCAGCAACCCAAAAGCTTGACAAGGTTTCTATGTTGCAGCTTGGAAATGAAAACAATTTCATTTTTTAACTCTTGAACGCCTTGTCCAGAATACTTCGATAGCTTCTTTACTGCTATCTCTTGTCCATCTGGTAGAATACCCTGCGATTTTCTCTCAAGGGTCAAATATTTTCCCTTCTCGCTTTTAGTTGAAGATCAAAGTTGATTTACCTTGTAAACCTGTCCAAAGCCACCCTCACCAATCACATTCGCAGAAGAGAAACTTTCAGTGGAAGTAGTAACAGTAACTAAATCAAACAATGGCAACTCAAGGTCATTCTTTCCAACTTCTGAACCTGTCAACATATATTTTCCGATCACAGACATGATATAATTGAACTTTTCCTCAATCATTTGATAAAGTCGAACATGTTAGCTAGATGGAGGTAGAAAAGCATTCACAGTTAACAATTTTCTAATACCTCCAGTATGTTTGTCTGTTTTTTTGTTCCTTCTTTGGAAGGTAAACCAAGCTACAAAGATGAGGATAAAAGTTGCTGCTAGTGCTGAAATGACCGCAATCAGAGCTGGCCACTTTCCCCTCCAAGTCCTGACTGGATCTGTTTAATACAAAAGACGTCCATAAGCAGTCTTCAATTGAATGAATTGACAATATCAGTATGAATTGCTTCCGCAACTATCAGTGACATCAGATAGTAAAGTTCCTTAAATTCTAAAGAGTGGTGCTTATATTGTGCAAAAGAACACGAAAATGGTATAGAGTAGGGTCATTACCTAATTCTGAAGCAGCAACTCTCACAAACAGGCGTTGCTCATTTTTGTTGTACTCTCTAATATCAATGAGCTCACCGAACCATAGTAAACATCCACTTCCGCCATTTCTTATATCAAGATTTGAGTAGGCTGTACAATTGCAATCAGCCAAGCACATTTTCTTGCATTCTTCAAGATTCATGCTTACATTATACCAGGAGTGTCTAGAATCCGGCATCTTGATATTCGTAAATTTAAGAAAACCATCTTGGTTACAAGACAAAGAAGTTTTCCTTATACAACCATTAGACCAGTCCACTGCATACCATTGTTCAGGATACCTATGAAGACATAATTAACGAATAAATATGGTATTAAAACGGACAGAGGAGTCGTGTGAAGGCATATTTTTAACAATACCTAGGCTCGAAACCTTGCAAGCAGTCACATGGAGGAGAGTTATTGATGTTGCAACTTGCATAAGGACCACATAAAGCAAAACGATCACAATTATCAGATTGTGTTGATACATAGACTATCCATCTCTGATTTCGCTCAATCCATGTTAGGTGTTCTACCATTCCAGCCTGATTGATCACTACCCTGGTGGGCAGGGACTCGTTTAGCTCGTATTTAAAGTAAATCTCCTTCTGTTTAATAACAAACTCGAAAGCATAATATATAGCTGGTTGATTTTTTGGACTACTGCTAAATGTGATACCATTCCATGGCCCTGTGCTATATACTATAGATGAATTTTGCCACACGAAAAATTGTGGGTATCCATGAGAATCAAGACGTTCTATATATTCACCAGGCGCAGGATCATCACTGCTCTTCCATGACTCTATGTACCAATCCATGCCCGTGACCAGATTACGTCCAAGCTTCATCCCAGGTAGTAAAGTATCTCCTGGATAATCAAAACTCTGCCACGCGAAATTAACTTCTGGATCACTATCATTTCCATCAGTCACAACAAGGTTACCAGAATCCAGGAGCCATGCTTTTGGATTCGTCAACAATCTTGATGAGTTTGAAGACCAAATTGAGGCATTGGAATTACGAAGAAGTACAAGAATTCCATTGGGATTGAGTGATAACACTCCTGAATTGTCATTCAGTGGGAAGTTTCTGTTGGCAACCCAGACAACAGTTCTAGTTGCTATCTTCTTAAACCATATGCCAACGTAACGATTCTTCGAATTTCCAGGGCTGAAAAATCCAAGCTCAAAAACCCCTCCAGCTGAAATAATTGTGTCACCATCTCTAATTGGTTTCTCTGTTGTGATTGTGTCTAATGCAGTGGAAATTAGTAAGACTGGAAGAAAAATTGAGCAAGAAAATAAAAAATGTTTCCCTTTCATGATTCTGATGATTCGTGCCTTCGATTTTTCGAAAAACTTAAAGTCTTAATAACACACACAAACACCAGTTAACTTTTTTCACTTTAAAACTGTTGAGAGGCAGCTAAGAATTAGGATGTGATAGGTCTGAACCTGTTCATTGTTGTATACCTTTGACCTCTAAAAGTGTTAAATATGTGATATATGATTGAACATTCGATAATAATGCTTAATCGTAGTTAATTTACTGGCAATATATAGATAGATACTCAAACTTGTCACCAACTACTCGTTAGACACCTCTAGTTGGCATAAATGTGGCTCGAGCACGAGTAAGGCAAACTTAACGTGTGAGCTACAAACTGCCATGACATGTTAAATGATGCTCAAACTATGTATATATACATGGGTAAAATTAAATTTAAAATGTACACATATATAAGCTTTTGCCTAATCATATGCATATTCAACTCTATGAAACAAAAACCATGCTGATTAATTAGTGTCATCTAGGAATTAGATTAGTACCTACAGGTCTATTACAAAAACAATAACATACTATCGGAGAATGTCAATATCGTGTCTATGGCAAGGCCCGGTAGGACTAGGTTGGTCCGGCTTGGAGTCATGATCAAACATTACGTTTGCTTGGTGGACTTACTTAAGAAATAAAATTATGTTTTTTTGTTAAAAGCGATAACTTATGGTATGACAATAAACGTTTGATCCTAAATGTTACTAATGCTGTGAGGATTCAATAATTTAAAATGGATCCTATTTGCATAGGGTAAAGGAATTGATCAAATGAACCTCTTCATCATGCCCTTTAATGTCAGAAAAAATGTTGCATATATGACATGAACCACAATTTAATGATAAAGAAGGTTTTATTTGTATTATTAGAGTGTTAGCTGTCAATAACTGAATAAAAAAATATTTTGTATTATTAAAGCAAGTGGGCTTATTGAAAGCATGTTATTTTGTCGGTAAGCAAGGCTACCTTACACAAGCGGCTAAAATAATTTATGTAATCTGTAGTTTGATAGAAATTAAAGAGCCATAAAAATAATTTTAAAAAAATAAATAGAAAAATATTAGAATGGATATGCACTTAAAATTTCTATCGCATTATTATAATTAATTAAAATACATATTTATTTCATTTATTCATTTGATTATATAAAATACATACTCTCTATGTTTCATAATATTTATTCATATGATTAAATATAGTTGATCCAAAGTACTTATCACAAAAATATAATTTATTTTAAAAGATTTACTTTTCATTTAATTAAATTCTTTTTGAAAATTTTAATATTACAAAGTTCCAAAAAAATTCCTCCATTGCTAATCTTGATTGATAAGGCACATAAATAAAATGTATTGATTATCAAATGCGGATAAATTTAGCTTGTTTAAAGAGCATGTAAAGAGAAAAATGGACAAATAATATGCGACCAAAGAAGAAATACTCTATTTACAACTTAAATTTACTTATTTTACGAAATACTTAAGAAACAATTTGTGTTTGTTAATAAATTTTATCAAATAAGTTATAAATTAATAAATATAATTTAATTCGGATGGTTCTTGAATCTTTTTGACATTAATAAACCAATCTCACATTGATGAAAGAAAGAACTGGGCAATTGTCAGCGCAATAATAAATATCCAATAGTTTTAATTTTTAAGTTTCCACCCAACTAAAATTAATGATTTATCGTTCATTTTTATTATGAATAGTTGGTTTATAAATAATATTTGTCATTTTATATAAATAATATACAAAATTATATTATTTTTTCTATTTTATTTTTGTGAGTTATTAGTGATGAATGTAATATTTGACTAACATAAAAAATAAAAAAAGTGAATAGTTCGTGTTCGTTAGTCATATTAGTTGATCAAAATAAATCAATTTATATTCATTGAATGAAAAGTTTAATACTTTAAAAAATATATAAGGATAAAATGATAAATTTAATTAATTTCTTAATGCACCTGAAATAAAAAATAATGACATACTAATAAAAATGAAAGAAGAACTAATTTCGACTAGAAAATTAACGTTAAAATTATTTTCTAACTGTGAAAGCAAATTGCAATAGTTCAAGTAGAAAATTATATGTGCAGCATATGAAAACTTGTCTTTTTGTTTTTATTTTTTCTCAGTATAATATTACAATATGCTGACCTTTTTTTTTTCTGCTGAAAATATGGTGATTTCGTAACGATTTAAAGAGGAAAAAAAGAAATGGATGTGTCAACCTTATTTCGACATGATTAATTACGTAAGGAAACGGAAAAAAATATTTCGTTGTATTTTCTTTTAATCTGTCACATCATTTAAAAGAATTTATCAAATATTTGTCTCTTCAAAAAAAATTTATCAAAAAGACATAAATCAATTTCAGGGATAATGTTTGCACTTTTTATCGCTTAAATAATGATGATTTTTTATAATATTCGATTACTTCTATTTAATTTTTCATTAAGTTAATATGTGTTTTTTAAATCCCTTTATAAAAATATGTAGTTTTTAGGTTATTGGTTGAATAATATCACTCTCAAATATGTAATACAATCATAAAATCAACGTAATACAACAACAATGAAATGATCTAATACTAAATAATTCATCAACGTTATAGAAATGATTTAACACTAAATAATTCACTAACGTTATAAAGATTCAAGATTAGAGAGATAAAAAAAAACATAAATTAATTAAGATTATACATTTAATCAGATTAAGTCAAAAGATTACAACTTTGAAAACTAGTCTTAGGTTGTTAGCCGCCTCTAGAGTTTTTGGAAAGCAAATATTAGTTCGTTTCCTTAAAATTATGGGAAAATTAAAGAGTTTTACATTTTACACCTAATTAATAATATAATTTAATAGTTATTGAATTGAAAATCAGGAGATAAAAGTAAAAAATGTCAAAAGATTTTATTTCAGGTAATAGGTCTTGCATCATATACATGTACGATGGAAGGTAATTGTACATCATAAAATTTATCGAGATAAATTTATTTAAATTTTCATTTTTTTTACATCAAAAATATATAAAATATATTAAAAACTTCAATAAAATATTAAATTTAAATCCGTGATTCCATATTCTGACACTATTATAAATTGAATTTAAAAAATATTAAAAATTAAATTCATTAAATTTTTAAATTTAAATTATAATCATTGAATTTTTAAATTTGAATCTATCTATAAATCTATACAAATTAAACTAAAAAAATAACATATATTTCATAAAATTATTCGAGATAGGCTTAAATTGGTCGCGATCACTGAGCCATAAAATAAACCCATTGCATCCAGACAAAAGTTGGTTGACCATGCTGACAAAGTTTTAACAATAAATTGTCACCTCCACCCCATCTCTATATTTATTACACAAAGCTAACCTTTTCTTTAAAAATATGAAAAAATGATATACTCAAATCATGCGGTGGTGGTGATAATATTTTATTTTTAATTGGAGATTTTAAGTTCGAGTATTGAATATAAAAAAAAATTATTAAAGTGAATTTGAGCTTCGAATATAAATTAAATGACATTGAAAGTATTATCTCTCTGAATGAGCTGAGCCGAGTTGAATCCGAATTAATATTTAATTATTGTACCATTTTTAATGTCACCTATCTCATCAAACATAACAAGAATCTTCAAAATGGTCCAAATTGATATCAAGCTTTTATTATATTCGTGGAGTGTACTGCAAAATTGCGGTGGGTAATTTTTAGTTAAAAATACAGTTTTCGATTATTGATTGGTTCAACATGTCAAAGATTTACTCTGTCAAATTAAATTGTTTATTTGATCACTAGCTAAGTTTTGAATGTGCAACTTATAATACTGTGCGAAGTTTAAGGAGCTATCGCGATATTTAGCCTGTTATTTATAAGTCGAATATATCGCGATAAATAGCCTATTATTTATAAGTCCAATATTGTAGACATGACTTTCTGATTCCAAACTGGTGGGCAGAAAGAAGTTAAGTTTGACAATCAATGGTATTGATTTTGTTTTTTGTGTCAGCTATGTTGAGGCTCTTCATTTGCTGTCAATTTCTCTTCATGTTACTAACTTCTGCTGCATTAGACACAATCACTACAAATAAATCTATTAGAGATGGTAATACAATTGTTTCAGCTGGAGGGGTTTATGAGCTTGGATTTTTCAGCCCTGGAAATTCGAAGAATCGTTACGTTGGCATATGGTACAAGAAGATATCACCTACAACTGTTGTCTGGGTTGCAAACAGAGACATTCCACTTAATGACACTTCAGGAGTGTTAACACTTAATCCCAATGGAATTCTTGTACTTGTTGATAAATCCAATGTCTCAATTTGGTCATCAAACTCATCAAGATTGTTAAAGAATCCAAAAGCAAGGCTCCTGGATACCGCAAACCTTGTTGTTAGTGACGGAAATGATAGAGATCAGGGAATTAATTTCGCGTGGCAGAGTTTTGATTATCCAGGAAATACTTTATTACCTGGAATGAAGGTAGGAATAGATTTGGTTACGGGGATGGATAGGTATGTAACGTCGTGGAAGAGCACAGATGATCCTACTCCTGGTGATTATGTAGATCGTGTTGATTCACATGGATACCCGCAATTGTTCTTGTCGAGAAATTCATCTGTAGTGTTTAGCTCAGGGCCATGGACTGGTGCTGCATTTTCTAGTAGTCCTAGTAATAAACCATCTTTGTATTATACGTTCGAGTTTGTTATCAATCAGAAGGAAATTTACTTCAAATATGAGCTTAAGAGTGACTCTTTGCCCACCAGGGTGGTGCTCAACCCGGATGGAGTGATACAACACCTAATATGGATTGAGCATACTCAGAGCTGGTTTCTCTACTTGACAGCACAACTTGATAATTGTGATCGTTTTGCTTTATGCGGACCTTATTCAAGTTGCAACATCAATAACTCCCCTCCATGTGACTGTTTGAAAGGTTTTGAGCCTAGGTTTGTATTTGTTAAACTATGTGATCATCTCCTGTTAAGCTATCAGAGAGAGTGCACTTTTGAATTTTGATTTCTAAGTTATGTTTTCACACACCCCTCATGTGTGCGCTTGATTCTTTTTCTTGGACCAAACATGTGTAATTATTTTCTTGCCTTCACAGGTATCCTCAAGAATCTGCAGCAGACTGGTCTAGTGGTTGCGTAAGGAGAACTTCTTTAAATTGTACCCATGATGGTTTTCTTAAATTTACGCGTATCAAGATGCCTGATTCTAGAAACTCCTGGTATAATGAGAGAATGAACCTTGAAGATTGCGAGAAAATGTGTTTAGCTGATTGCAATTGTACAGCCTACTCAGATCTTGATGTTAGAAATGGCGGAAGTGGATGCTTACTATGGTTTGGAGAACTCATAGATATACGAGAATTCAGCCAAAATGAGCAAAATCTATATGTGAGAGTAGCTGCTTCAGAATTAGGTACTGAACCTACTCTGCATAAATGCACAACTCTTAAAATTCTGCTCTTATATACTCAACTGATGGACTTTAAAGTTGATTAGGTGCTTTAGTAGTTGGTAATATGGCGATTTCATTGTAAAGTATTTATCAGCCATTAGATGGTTGCACATGTACTTATTAGGAGCTGATAATCTAGTAAAAAATGTATTCTACTTAGTGTGATGATCACCCTTATCCTCATTTTCTGTGGTACTGGAACGGAAGTATAGCTTGCTGCAAAGAGCATTTGAATAATTTCAAATCTTACTCTACGACTATATGGATACTAGGACATAACTAGTAAGTAGGATTTCTAAGGGATGAGACACTCCATTCCCTTTGAAGGCTTAAAAATATGCTAGACCTCATGACAGATCAAGACTGTTGACAACGTGTGGTAGTGATATGCATTCTGTCCTCTAGTAGTGCCGCTTGTAATCAGTGCCACTGTACACTAATATGTGTATCTTTGAAAGAAGATATCCGATTTAACAAGCAGCTTGTAATCAAATAAACATGGAAGTATTTTTCAGTAATCTTGTTGATTGAAAGCCCTGGTCAACAAGTTACTAAGTCCGCAGGGCTTCATAACAAAATAAGTACTACAATCAATGCAATTAACTACTGATATGGCTAACTCGTATGTAAATTGAATACTGATTAGAACTAATATAGAACATGTTCAGACAGGACGCGGAGGAGAAAGAGGTCAGTCCTGATTGATGTCATTTCAGCAGTGGTAGCAACACTTATCCTCAGTTCTTTAGCTTGGTTTTATGTCCAAAGAAGGAAAAGAAGAAGAATAGGTAAATATACCTAAGGTACTCTAGTCTATCTGGCTGACATTGTTCGCCTTTACCAAATTCTCATTGATATCATGTTTGTGGCAGGCGAATGTATATTGACAGGTTCAAAAGTTGAAAATGAGGACATGGAGCTTCCATTGTTTGATTTAGTTACTGTTACAAGTTCCACTGGAAACTTCTCTTCTGCTAATGTGATTGGGGAAGGCGGATTTGGACCGGTCTACAGGGTAAATTAACTTTGATCTTCAACTTCTAGCTGGAAGTGGCATCTTTAACCCTTGATAGAAAATTGCAGGGTATCCTACCAAGTGGACAAGAGATAGCAGTAAAGAGGCTATCGAAGTATTCTGGACAAGGCATTCAAGAGTTAAAAAATGAAATCGTTCTCATTTCCAAGCTGCAACATAGGAACCTTGTCAAGTTATTGGGTTGCTGTCTTGAAGGAGAAGAACGGATGCTAATATATGAGTTCATGCCCAACGCTAGCTTGGACTATTTCATTTTTGGTCTGTTTTTTCGTGATTCATTGGCTATACTAGTACTTAACAAGCCTTCAATATCTCTGATCACTCAATGATTAGTTCTGCATTGTGCAGATCCAAGCAGAAAAGCTTCACTTGGATGGAAGAATCGTTTTGAAATTGCTATGGGAATATCTCGTGGTCTTCTTTACCTTCACCAGGATTCAAGATTGAGAATTATTCACCGAGATCTCAAGACCAGCAACATTTTATTAGATACTGACATGAATGCCAAAATTTCTGACTTTGGCCTTGCCAAAATTTTTGGTGGTGACCAAGAGGAAGGAAAAACTAAGAGAGTAATAGGGACATAGTAAGTTTCTACACATCTTTAAATCACAGAACCTTTATTACATTTAATCATTACATCATGAGCATAAATATATTGAGTTGATGCAGTGGATATATGTCCCCGGAGTATGCTGTTGATGGGAAATACTCAGTAAAATCAGATGTATTCAGCATCGGTGTAATCATTCTTGAAATAGTTAGTGGCAGAAAGAACAGAAAATTTCGTCATTTGGAACATCATCACAATCTCTTGGGACATGTAAGCACAAAACTTCATTCCCTTTATTCACTCTTAGCTTTCTATTGTGATTACAACTGTATGAATGTGTTGTTCTGTTTGTAATTTAGGCATGGTTACTTTGGATTGAAGGCAACGCGTTGGAACTGATAGACGAATGTATCAAAGAATCCTTTTCAGAATCTCAAGTGCTGAGATGCATCCAGGTTGGTTTGTTATGCGTCCAAAAACTCCCCGAGGATAGGCCTACAATGGCATCAGTAGTTTTCTGGTTAGGCAATGAAGGTCTGGTTCTTCCTCAACCAAAGCAACCTGGTTTTTTCATAGAGAGGAATTCAATGGAATCAACAGAATCATCAACTGATGAAGTATATGTAAGTAGCAGCGTGTCGATAACAGTTCTAGAGCCAAGATAGACATAAAATTCCAGTTGAAAGTTTTGAAATGTACACACTTTTTTCTTATTGTCAATATGAGCTCTAGTGTATATATGACAGTAATGTTCTTGTCAAGAGTTCCAAGTACGAAAATCATATTTGCAGCATGACAAAAACTTGCCTTTTTTATTATTTATCCTTAGTTATCTTATTATATGGTGACTTTACAATATGAAAAGGAAAAATGAGGTGACAATATGCAATAATTTTAGAGAGTTAGAGGTTTTTGTTCATGCTTTTAGAAAGAAAATAAAAATATTTTTTAAGTTGTAAAGTAAACGAAAATACTGTAGTGTTTTTCTCCCAAGTACTTTTGGAACCTTGGCCATGAAAAAGTGAGAAGTCAAACACAAATTTGCTTTGATAAAAAAAAAAGGTTCAAAAAGTATTTGTATTAAAAAAAAAGCACTTTTCAAAATGTGTGAATATTGAAAATTTGACCAAACAGATTGTAATAGAGCATGTTTAGGTAATAAAATGAGTAACAATATGCCACAATTTAATCATGATTAAGTTTTAATAGTTTTAAAATCACTTCAAATCATTATTTTAATCATATGATTAGTCAACAGCGTGCAACTTTGGGACTCTAATTAGCCGCCTCTATGCCCTCTCAATAGAAAAGTTGAAACAATTACTGCTACTCAACTAATCAGTAAATTAAATTAATTAAACAAAGAAGCGGTGATAGACCTTTATTAATAAGGATTTGTTTGGTTGAAGAGATTTGGGGTTATTTCCAATATAAAATTCATACTAAAATTATGAATTTATCAATATATCTCATATAAAAAAGATGAGATCATTTTATCTAGTAATAATCGCAAAATTATAATCTTAACACAACCTTATTTTGAATCAAATGACTGGTGTTCTTAATTTTGTTTTGAATCAAACGACCTGCGTTATCGAAAATCAAATACTTTCACATCCACGAGATGTAGCCTAGTAGTCCACAAAGTTGGTCCGTAATTATTAGCCTCAAATTGAAACATGAAAAAGTCGGAGAACATATTCCGGCTTTGATGTGAATAACTGGGTATTTGTGCTGGTGAGAGATAGTGTAATTAGTCCAGGTGTGCCTGACTATTATTTTAATAGAAGAGTTTTTCTTTTCATATTCTGTTTAAGAGGAATATTTAACATGACTTTGTGTTAATTCTAAAGTGGTGGGCAGAAAAACTCAATTTTTGTCAATCAAATAAATCTTTTGTTATTACTAATTTTTATATCAACTATGTTGAGGCTCAAAGGCCTTAACATTGTCAATCAAAAAAAAAATCAGAATTTATGAAAGGCCTATTTTCTTTATGCATTTGCTACCAATTTCTCTTCATTTTACTAACTTCTGCAGCATTAGACACAATCACTACAGATAAATCCATTAGAGATGGTGACACAATTGTTTCAGCTGGAGGGGTTTATGAGCTTGGATTTTTCAGCCCTGGAAATTCGAAGAATCATTACGTTGGCATATGGTACAAGAAAATATCAAATGGAACTGTTGTCTGGGTTGCAAACAGAAGCATTCCACTTAATGACACTTCAGGAGTGTTAACACTTAATCCCAATGGAATTCTTGTACTTGTTGATAAATCCAATGTCTCAATTTGGTCATCAAACTCATCAAGATTGTTAAAGAATCCAAAAGCACGGTTACTGGATTCAGGGAACCTTGTTGTCAGTGATGGAAATGATAGAGGCCTGGAAAATAATTTCGCGTGGCAGAGTTTTGACTATCCAGGAAATACTTTGTTACCTGGTATGAGGCTAGGAAAAGATTTTGTCACGGGAATGAATTGGCATTTAACGTCATGGAAGAGCACAGATGATCCTACTCCTGGTGATTATGTAGATCGTGTTGATTCACATGGATATCCACAATTGTTTGTGTGGAAAAATTCATCTATAGTATTTAGCTCAGGGCCATGGAATGGTATTGCATTTAGTGGTAGTCCTAATAATAAACCAAATACATATTACAGTTTCGAGTTTGTTATTAATCAGCAGGAAATTTACTACACATATACAATTAAGAATGACTCCATACCCACCAGGGTGGTGCTCAATCCGTCTGGTGTGCTAGAACACCTAACATGGATAGAGCGCAGTCAGAGCTGGTTTCTCTACTTGACAGCACAATTTGATAATTGTGATCGTTTTGGTTTATGTGGACCTTATTCAAGTTGCAACATCAATAACTCCCCTCCATGTGACTGTTTGAAAGGTTTTGAGCCTAGGTTTGTATTTGTTAAACTATCGTATCATCTCACATTAAGCTATCAGAGAGAGCACACTTATGAATTTTGAATACTTATCTTTTCACACGGCCCTCATGTGTGTGCTTGATTCTTTTTTTGTTACTTAATTATGCCTTCACAGGTATCCTCAAGATTCTGCAACAGAGTGGTCTAGTGGTTGCATAAGGAGAACTTCTTTGGATTGTACCCATGATGGTTTTCTTAAATTTTCAGGTATCAAAATGCCTGATTCTAGAAACTCCTGGTATAATGACAGCATGAACCTTGAAGATTGCGAGAAAATGTGCTTGGCTGATTGCAATTGTACAGCCTACTCAGATCTTGATGTTAGAAATGGCGGAAGTGGATGCTTACTATGGTTTGGTGAACTCATAGATATACGCGGGTTCAGCCAAAATGAACAAAACCTGTATGTGAGAGTTGCAGCTTCAGAATTAGGTAATGATCCCCTCTGCACCATTTTCTCCTTTTGTTGTACAATATAAATAAACAACTATTTAGAATTGAAGGAATTCTACTATCTTATTTACTTGATAGACATTAAAATTGTTTATCAGCCATTAAATGGCTGCACATCTACAATTGTTTCCCCCTAAGGAGGGTTTTGATAGTCTAGTACAAACGTATCCATCTAGTAGCTGTACACATTTGCTTCTCAGATCATCCACTAGTCCCCGTTGTTGCAGACTTTCTTTTGTATAGAGTTTTACACTAGCAGCTATATTCAGAATGAATAACCATATAAGGAGAGCAAAGATTGTTACTTAACTGTTTCCTCCAAGGGATTTTAGGAATGCTGGCTCTTAGCTTCTGATGTGCTAGACCTCATGAAAGATCAAAAATGTTAACAGCGGGGGATGGTCGTACACACTCCTTTAATAGTTAGTACTGATTAGCAAGTCTGCAGAGCTTCCAAGCAAAATAAGAAGTAATACAATCAATGCAATTCATTACTGATATGGCCAACTCATATGTAAATTGAACTTATTCAGACAGGAAGGGGAGGAGAAAGAGGGCAGCCCTGATTGGCGTCATTTCAGCAGTGGTAGCAACATTTATCCTCAGCTTTTTAGCTTGGTTTTACTTCCGAAGAAGGAAAAGAAGAAGAGGTATATATATACTTGAGATACTCTTGTCTATCTGGCTGACATTGTTCGCCTTTACCAAATTCTCATTGATATCATGTTTGTGGTGGGCGAATGTTATTGACAGGATTAGAAGTTGAAAATGAGGACATGGAGCTTCCATTGTTTGATTTAGTTACTGTTACTACTGCTACTGATAACTTCTCTTCTGCTAATGTGATTGGAGAGGGAGGCTTTGGACCGGTTTACAAGGTAAATCAACTTTGACACTCGACGTCTAGCTAGAAGTGGCATCTTTGACTCTTGATAGAAAATTGCAGGGTATCCTACCAAATGGACAAGATATTGCAGTAAAAAGACTATCGAAGCATTCTGGACAAGGCTTTCAAGAGTTAAAAAATGAAATCGCTCTCATTTCCAAGCTGCAACATAGAAACCTTGTCAAGCTATTGGGTTGCTGCCTTGAAGGAGAAGAAAGGATGCTAATCTATGAGTTCATGCCCAATGCTAGCTTGGACTATTTCATTTTTGGTCTCATTTTCATGATTCATTGACTAAATACTACTTAATAAGTCCTCAATATCTCTGCATCACTCAACGATTAGTTATACATTGTGCAGATTCAAGTAGAAAAGCATCACTTGCATGGAAGAACCGTTTTGAAATTGCTATGGGAATATCTCGAGGTCTTCTTTACCTTCACCAGGATTCAAGATTACGAATTATTCACAGAGATCTCAAGACTAGCAACATTTTATTAGATACTGACATGAATGCCAAAATTTCGGACTTTGGCCTTGCCAAAATTTTTGGTGGAGATCAAGTGGAAGGAAAAACTAAAAGAGTAATAGGGACATAGTAAGTTTCGACACATCGTTAAATCATAGAATCTTTATAACTATTCAATCAGTACATCATGAGCATAAATATATTGAGTTGATGCAGTGGATATATGTCCCCGGAATATGCTGTTGATGGGAAATATTCAGTAAAATCAGATGTATTCAGCATTGGCGTAATTATTCTTGAAATAGTCAGTGGCAGAAAGAACAGAAAATTTCGTCATTTGGAACATCATCACAATCTCTTGGGACATGTAAGCACAAAACTTCATTCCCTTTATTCACTCTTAGCTTCCTATTGTGATTACAACTGTATGACTGTGTTGTTCTGTTTGTAATTTAGGCATGGTTACTTTGGATTGAAGGCAACGCGTTGGAACTGATAGACGAATGTATCAAAGAATCCTTTTCAGAATCTCAAGTGTTGAGATGCATCCAGGTTGGTTTGTTATGCGTCCAAAAACTCCCCGAGGATAGGCCTACAATGGCATCAGTAGTTTTCTGGTTAGGCAATGAAGGTCTGGTTCTTCCTCAACCAAAGCGACCTGGTTTTTTCATTGAGAGGAATTCAATGGATTCAACTAAATCATCAACTGATGAAGGATATTTAAGTAACAACGTATCGATAACAATCCTGGAGCCAAGATAGATATAAGTTCCAATAATTGGAACTTTTGAAATGTATTCACTTTGTCCTGTTTTGTCAAACACTGATAGTGTATATGTGACTATATATGAGGTGAATTGACATGTATTCTTTCTGTACAATAAGAGATGTAATGAATTTGCCTATTCTGAGTTACTAGCAAGAAGAACTATAGTTATAACTCTTCAGCTCATAAATCGTGTTCATCGATATGTTAGGTTCTAAGCAGAATGAGCATCATGATAACTTAGCCCTCAGCAGGAGCGGAATATCACACTGTATATTCTAATAGAATTTTCTTAGTGAAAAATTCTAACTCTGCTATTTTTCATTGACGTAACTTCTAAAATAAGTCAAATTGACACTTGATAAAACCCGAGTAAAATGCACATTACAAATGTATAGATTTCACAATAATGTTTAAAAAAAATTGCATATGTACAACAAATGAATAAGAAATTTAGGTCATTTTTATGCATATATACACTCAAGTTTATGGAGTATGAATGATTGTATATATGAAGAAGATATTATTATTATTAAAAGGAAGTTGCATTGAAATTTCCTGTTCTCCTTGTGGGAAGCAACAAATATGATGGTTCATGTTTTTGTCCCTTTAAGGTTATAACATTTTAACTTTATTTAATGATACCTATAATTTTGTGTTGTTTTGTGGTTTAAGGAAACACCCAGGAATATTCATGTACTTTCTGTATATACAGTGTCCCAAATATACTTAGATCATAATTCATGTCTTTTTGCAATCTTACAAATTAGTGGCATTACTAAATCCCCTCCAAAAATTATAAAGTATTGTGCTAGCAATTAGTGTTATATAGTTTGTCATATAGTTGTTCTACCATTGTTGAAATAATTGGTTGATCAAATATTTTGGGTACTATATACCAGTGAAATATAGTTAAACTGTTACAGGATCTTTATCTGCTCTGATATCATATTGAAGCGTGTGATCATTTCATCTAAAACCTTATAAATTGTTAGAGAGCACACACTCGTGGGTCTTGATTAACCAATCACATAAAAGTTCTTTTTGATATGAATGACGATCAAAACCTTTGCCTACAGCGATATCATGCATGTTGCCGTGCGACCATTTTATCTTAGTTTATTTTCTAACAGTAAATAGGATTAAACATAGGGTAATTGCAAGTAAAAGCCAGAAAAGTGTCACATGATGCACTAATAATCTTGTCAATCTAAAAAAATAATTATCAATATTAATTCGATCATTTTTATGAGAGCGTTATAAGAATGGTCCCCCTTATATGTAATACGAGAAGTAATTTTAGTAAATTAATTAACAACACAAGTATGAAAAAATAGGCTAAAAAGAAAGTAATTTTATATTTAAAAAATTAACATAATTATGATTTATGAACCACCCATATTATTACTTGTTTAACACTATAAATTTCGAAAATTTATTTTATTTCATTAAATTTTATAATAAATTAAATAATATGACATAAATTAAAACGAAGAACGGATGAAATGAGTTTGGCCAAAACACAGAGAAAGATAGATTGTGACTCAACGTACCGAGGGAAATAATGTAGTACGTACGTTTCCTTCCATTTCCGTATTTTTAATTTTAGCTCTATCGAAAAAGAAATGTTATAAGAGATGAATTTTAAATTATATGATAAGTGTTATTTTAGAGTATATTATAGAAAACATAAATGGTCACTTTTTCATGGTGGACCAATGGTGTCATATTGTCAATAATATGGTTCGAATAGTTATTATTAAAAAATTATATCATTAATTTTATTATGTCTTAATCGGTTTTTTTTTTATGTTGATATAGATTTAATAATTTTTTAATCATATTGAATTTACGAATTTCAAATTAATGTATAATTAAGTTTGAATATATTATTTATATATATTAAAGTGAATTTTTTTAAATAAATATAGATCAAAATTACTGAATTTTGTAATGTACGTATATAAAATTCTAAATCTACATGTGAGAGGGTTTGCAGCAACAACTTTTTGTTCTTAACTAATTATTTCCACGTTTTTTTTAATTTCTATTTATTTCTTGTTTTTTTTTCTCATTTATATTAATTTTCAGAAACTGCTCAAGTATATTAGTGGCATAAAACAAAAATTAAATGGGGCTTTAAATTTAAATTGTTAATAACTTTTCTATAATTGATTTTTCTAGTTTCCAATTGACATATAACCATTCTTATTTTAAATAATTTTTCGTGAGATATAGTATTCTAAATATGTCGAATTTCTTCTAATAATTCCTTCATTTTTCATGAAAAAAATTACTTTTTCTAGAAACAGTATTCAATATTTGTTAAAAAATAATAAGTTAAAGCCTATTATTATTAAAAATGAGATTCCTTAAATTTGGATGATTAAGGCACATGTCTTTTTCTTAACAATGTCGAGTCGCCCTATTAATTTTAAATCATTTTTTTTCTATACGGTCTGTGAAACATTAATTTCATCAATCTTGTTACTGCTTTTGTTTTTCTCCATTTAACATTGGAGGAGAATTTATTTGTTTTTTGTTCCAACATAATTAAAAGAATATACATTAAGAGTTACTCCCTCCTAACCAAAAAAAAAGTGTCAAAAATCAAGAAAAAAATAAAACTATACTAATCCTAATTTCTTATTGCTTCAATAAATGAATCAAACAAGCCACGTAGTTTAGGGAATTATAAAGGATAATTTGTTCAAATAATCAATGATTAATATTATTAAATAATTTTTTTAAGCATGTATTAAAATCTTAAAAGACATTTGAATTAGATGGATTAATCCCTTATCCCTCACCCCCTCCCAATATTTTTTGAAATGTACAATTTGTTACTGTTTTATATATGATTTATTAGTTGCACTTAATGAAGGTGTAAGTACGTTGTCCATCGATAATTTATGTTATTTTTTTTAAGTGAAAAGAACAAATTACACTAGCTAGCAAAGGTACACAATTAATTATTGATTCAAATTTAGCAATAATATTCATTGTGTATGGAAATGGGCAGAATTTGCCCTAGTTAGTAGAAGCAATTATAGAAATGTTATCTCAATACACATGCATGTACAGTAAAAACACACGTACATATCGTTATCATTTACGTTAGTCCGTTGGACAAAGCATCTCGTATAAGCAGAGTTCAGGGAAGAATTGCACCCCAAGCCCTAAGGAATCGGATGTGGGGTAGACAGTCAACCTAATGCAAACATTAGTAACTGTATTTTCACAGCTAGAACATATGACCTAGCTATATAGCTCACATGGACGGAGATAACTTTATCATTACTCTAAGGTTCGTACAACCCATCGTTATCATTCAAATCTTTAAAAAAATCTAGAAAGAGTAGTGTGTGAGAGGTTTTCATGTAAATCTCACTAAAAACCAATTCCTCTTTTACAAAGTGTACTGTTCTTTCAAATGATTCCTCATGCAACTTCCAGGAAGGATAGAATCTTACAAGCCAACAACTTAACAACATCCACACATTTATTTCCTTCACTATATATACACACACATACATATATATATATACACACACACATACACACAACACATACACACACAACATCTCTTTAGTGATCGCGAGAAATGGAAGATCCTTATGGATTTGAAGATCATTTCCCTTCAATGATGGAGAGATTAGGCGCGGAAGGATTCATGAGGGAGCTTTGCAATGGATTTTGTTTACTTATGGATGTGAGTATAGGGCTAATAACATATGAAAGTTTGAAGAGAAACACTATGAATCTTGGTTTAAATGATTTAAGAGATGATGAGTTGATTTACATGTTGGCTGAAGGAGATTTGGATGGTGATGGAGCACTTAATCAAATGGAATTTTGTATTCTCATGTTTAGATTGAGTCCTGGTTTAATGGATGGATCTAAGCAATACATGGATGATGTGGGGCTTATTCATTTCCAACCCTAACTAGGTTTTTTATTAATTCCTTAATTTGTGTGTTTTATTGATGTAACTTGTATTAATATCATGAGAGATATGATGATGATGATGATGAAGATCTTATGCCAAATAAATAATTCTCCATGTATATCTATTTGTGTGTGTTGATTTGAAGGAGTGATGATTATTAATTATCAAACTACAATATCAGGCATTTCCAACTTCATAATGTTTCATCTTTTGTACGTTTGTTCAGTAAAATAATGAAGGATATGCCTTATTAATGGGGAATAGATGAAAGGGTTTGTTATATGTTGTCTAGGTCGATTAGAAGGTGTAAAAACATCTCGATTCTTTTTAAATTATTTTATTTTGGGATGGATGACTAATTTGGGGCTTATGATTCCCAACCCTAATTTAATTAATTTCTATGTTATGTATGTAACTAGTACTAAATTAATATCATGAGGAGATGATATCTTATTCCTAATTCTCCATGTATATTGATTATTTGAAGGAGTGATGATGATTAACTATCATATTACATGTATATCGATTTCATGATGTTTCTCATCGTTGTTCAGTGAAATAGTGAAGGATATTTCAGTACTAATAAAAACAGAAATGGGATGATTTGTTATATGTTGTTTCGATCGATCAGAAGGTACGAAAACATTTCATTTCTTCTTCATTTTATTTGCTTTGGATGGATGTTAGTAATACGTGCATGGATGATTTGAATTGGGGCTTATGATTTCCAACCCTAGTTTAATTTAACTTAATTATGTATAAATATCATAAGAGATTATGCCAAATAAATTATACTCCATGTATACCTATGTGCCTTAATTTGAAGGAGTGAAGATCATTAATGATTATATATTATATCAAGTATTTTGATTTCATAATGTTTCTATAGGTGTCTTATGAGTAAAATAGTGAAAGTATATTTCACTTCAACTTTCTGATGTTAGTATTCTCTCATGCTTCTGTTTTTCCGCTATATAGTGAAGGATATTCTATTAGTAATAGAAAAAAAAATACATCTTATATATTCTTCTTAGAGGTAAAAAAATATTAGAAGTATAATTCGATATATACCACTTTACTAGAAAATTTTGAATTAAATTTTTAACACATTTTAATTTAACCTTGAGAAAAAAATAGTGAGATTGAAATTTTTATCAAGGTAATTTAAAATATAAAGAATTAACTTTGGAAAGAAGCCAAGAAGATTCATTATGTTTGTCTGTTTTGTCATATGATATAAAAGATATGGATAAAACATTGTATGAATTAATATATGTTGAATAATGGCAGTACCTATCACTAAAGTACAACGCATGCATTATATGCGATACCAATAACCGAAGCTTCATCATTTTATTAATAAGTATATCTTCTCACGTTTGCTTCGGAAAGCATGTTCCTTAGAGACGGTTACGGAGTCACGTAAAAGTAAGG